AAAATCTTGAAGTGTCCTTCATCTTGGGACAGAACAGTAGCAGATAAAGATGTTTCAGCAGACATCACGGCTCCTGGCGGGTTAATCTGTGGGGCAAAGTTACAGTTCGACCCAGCTTGACCCAGCTGGGAAAATGTGACCTTTGTCACAAATTAGAGGCCATTCACGACGCTACAGTAGCCTCAGCAGGTCTACCATTAGCTCTTCTGAGTTTAGGCCGGGGCAATCGCAGTGTTCTATGTTTGTAAAGAGATGTTAGGTGGGCTTAGCACCATTATGGCAAAGCTTTATTTTATTTTTATAATGACACCTGAAGTGCAACGGAGCAAAACAACTACTACTGTAGCTCAGGAACGGTTTTTGTTAGAATCCAGTTTGACTTCAATTTTGGACAATTTAGACTTGGACTTTTCTTTGAGACATGAGTAAACAGAGGTACTTCTACTTCTTCCACAGTGTATGGCGGACTGCCTCGTCGGCTGATTTCTGTAGCAATGAATATGTAATGTCTGATTGGTCCTAGCGCTATCCAATTGCGGTCGGAACTTCAGGGTAAAAGCAATGACGGGGAAATGGACCAGGAGATCCAAAGGCCTGGTCCTAGCTGTCATGTCTCCATTTGCAGTTTGGCTCTGTAAGGAATTTGCGAAAATGTCAGCACATTGCGACCGCTGCATTGTGAGTGATGTCATTGGTTGGTGCAGCGAATAAACCATCATTTCCGACTGAGTTATAACCAATCAGCAGCGTTCCCGCTCACCAACTGCACTGAGTTGTTTGTTACTCCAGGCTACTCCGAGTATCCCTGATCAGGTACACAAAAGGTTCCTGAAAAGGCTGTCCGGCCGGCCCGGTCAAGCAGAGACGCACTTGTCTGGAAGTTCCTGTAAATGTACTCTGATGTTCCGGTAACGAAAATGCACCTATAGACAACTGACATCTGTCTAACAGTTGTGGTCAGACTATATAATTACATTTAAAAAATGCCTTCCCAGGCTTTAAAACATACGGTGCCCGTCTGGTGACATTGACGAAAAAAAACGTGTGGCCACGAGATACTTAATGCATGGCAATGAGTTAACAAGGACTTATTAATGCGTTCCCACGACTTATTAATGCATTCCCATGACTTATTAATGAGTTACCACGAGTTATTAATACGTGGCTACGAGTTAACGACTTATCAATGCGTACCCACGAGTTATTAATATGTTCCCATGAGATACTTAATGTGTGGCAATGAGTTAACAACGACTTATTAATGCGTACCCACAAGTTAATAATGCGTGGCCACGAGTCATTAATGCGTGGCAGGGATGCTTAAAACAGGAATTTCGTTACAGTTCTGTTAGAATATCTGTGCCATGTGAAATTCATGGTTTGTATTAGTATTTCCATAACTGAGGTGACGGTTTTTCAGAATAGAGTTGTTCCAAAGCCAGACTAATCTGTAATGTTGACCCTGCTTTTGCTAGCCGTTAGCTTGTCAACCCGATCCTAAAAAACACCTGTATTGTTGCCAAAATACAAGAAGTTTCATTTTATTGGTTCACGACTGTTCTTAAAGATTTCAACATTGTTTTCTCTCCACCAGTTCATGTCTGCTCGTGCTCTAGGGGTGCAAATCACTACTGCAGTTTCTCGGCTGTTGCAACAACATCCTGTCGCCACTAAAAAAAATACATTTGTTTTGTGGAAAATGCTGCTCCAGATTTGGTGCCCTGATACATAATCATCTCAGCACTCTCCGAGAGGTCCCGTGGGTCACATATGAGTTGTTGATAGTTCTTTTGGCAGCAAAATGTGCTGATAAAGCGATGCAGTCCTGACGCTCATTGCTGCGGCAGTAGATTGTGTTTGACTACTGGATGGATGACCCTAATCGTTTGCTGTAACTGAAGATAAGATGGATCATAAAGTGAGGGTGTGCCATTGCTGCACAACCCCACCCTTACTGAAACATGGCAGGCATAAAACTAAAGAGCCTTTTTCTTGCATGTCTTGTATTTCCAAACCCCTATTGAGATCTTTCTTTGTCCTTTGACCCCTCGCAACCTCCAGAAGGTTATCACCAATAGAAAACTTCTTAAACATGATTGTTGTCAAATGACAAGGCCGCACTTGAGGGAGTAAAACCACCAAACGGGCCTTTCGCCTTGCCCTTCTGTTTGTTTTTTCCTTTCTCTAATCCAGGTGACGGCTTTGTTCATCGCCAGCGCTGTTGGTTACTGAAACTGAAGGGGGGATTTAGCAGATGACAGCCAGGCAGCCTCTTCCATCACAATCCCCCTCCCAGGACGCTCAACAAGAGGTGACTTCTCAACACCTGTCAAGACCCTGAAAAAGAAAACAGCAAGAGACAAATAACTTCAGCGCCGAGCCGTGCTGGAAGCTTGTTTTCAGCACCTAAAATTAGACATTGTTTTGTAATACCGCCGGATTACAAATCAGACATTCCTCAAGTGTGGACGTTTCACATTCCTTCCTTTCAAGCTAAAGACCTGACATTGAATTCTTACTTGTGTCATGAGCTACTGTATTTTTCACTGATTTGACTTCTGACACGATGCACATAAACTCACACACAGTTTGTCTAGCTAATTAAAGCAAGACAACATGCTTTGACCTATTTTTACTAGCAGATATCATCCCCAGCATTATACTTATGCTGTTATCCAATTTAACACTTGGTAATTAGATTGTTAAACAAGAAAATGGTTGATTAAATATGCATCAGTTGTGACCAATATTTAATATTTAATGTGCAAAGAATTTTAAAAAATGGATTTTTTTTCATGCTTGTTTGTTCATGTTTTCTGCAAATATTTTAAATTATGTTGGACTTTATCTATTTTTTCAGGTTTTATTTGCTGTTCTTGTGTCTGGCAGCATACTGTGCAATTCCACTGATTGGTAAAATGGGAAGAGAAAGGACAAAAAAAGATTTGTCAGGATTTAAAAACCCCAAGATAAAACAAATAGAAAAGATATATAAGATAACTGGATCTAAGATCAGGATCAATCAATCAATACTTTATTAATCCCAGAGGGAAATTGGGATGTGGATGGGGTTCACCTTATCGGTGCTAAAATCTTCACCTTCTCACTATTTTTCATAGATTCAGCAAAATAACTGAAACACATTATGTGTTGTGACAACTAAGTGCCTTAAAAAGAGATTTAACATTTGTTTAAGTAAAGCATTTTCTGCTAACACTTGCTAAACTATGTAACATTGCTAAAATTCTAGATAAACAATGAAAATAGAAATAGTTTAAACCTAAATCGTGCCGCCTATTTATGACTTTTATTGTTTTCTTGCTTTTGCATAAATTTTCTTTTAGGATTTGATGTTTTTTGTTTGATTTGATTCTTGGAGGACATCTCAAGACCAAGGGGCAGTAGTCTCAAATATGTGAGGCCAACCAGGAAGTGACTCAAATTGCAGTTCCCGCCTCATCCACTAGGTGCTGGCTCAAAAACAGAGGAAATCGTCATTGACTCCCATGTTTAAAATGCCAGCTTCACAACAGGAATAAACATGTTTACAGCCTGGTTCGAAAACCATTTTAAGTTTAAGTCTAGTTTAAAGTCTGGGTGACATTTTTTTGTAACTTCCTTTCGGCATAATTAAATGATTGTAATTAGGAATCATTAGATTTGATTGACAGGCAGCATGAGCTGTCAGAGCTAGTGATAGTGGCAGTGAGTTGATGCATGCTTCACATTAGTCTCAGCCGCATTCCTTTGGCTAAAAGCACCCACAAACCTCTGTTAGCTTTGGTTAGCGCAGTTAGCTTGTAGCTTCGCACAATGGCGTACCCAGATCCTCAAAATTCTGCTCTCAGCTCCACCTCTCTTCCCATTTTATTTTGTCTGTGAATGTTGAGACGTGCGACACTGCCAAGATAGCGGTTATTCGAGCAGCCCGCTAGGCTTCAAGTCAAAACCTCAGAATCCTGTAGGTGACGTCGGGTTTGTCCATATTTTTTCAGTCATTGCTCAAGACCCTAAAATTAGTGTTTAATGACCCACCATGGGGCACTGACCCTACAAGGTGGGAGTTAAGGACCCGAGCTGTTGTTTGGTGTTTTAATTTCCCTGAGCTGTCAGGGATATACGTGTGATCAAACAATAGATAAAAAACTACATTTTTTCCCCAAGAGTTTTCATTTAAAAACTTTCTGGAGACGCTTCTGCAGTAAATGAGTGCAAAAGAAGCCGAATTCCAAAGCAAAACTTCAAAAAAACAGTCCTGTGTAATTTACAGAATTGTTTTGTCATGTTTCGTTTAAAGAAAATTGCCCACAGTTCTTCTGCCTATTGTTTTTGTGCCTTGAGGAGAAAAAAGCTCATGAAAGAATCCCACACTGCAAAACAGGAAACGTTCCACGGACCCCCAGCAAGGACTGGAAAACCTAACTCTAGCTCCAGTTTGCCTTTCTAAAATCTATCTACCCCCCCCCCCCCACCCACCCCCCCCCAACACACACACGCACACACACACACACAAACAACACAAACCTAATTAAGCTAAAAGCCGGGTCATGGTGGCTATTATTACAAAGTGTTGACAGGTTCGGTCACTATCATTGGAACCATTCCTTTCATGATGAGACCAGGACAGGACACTGGGGACGGCTGGGGATGAGACACATTAAAAACAGTCTGTCTGCATCACTTTGAAGGACCGTGCAACAGGTCTGGGAAGAACTTCACCGTCTGTGTCTGTAGACCGTCGGCTAAACAGAGATGTGCTGGGAAAAAACACCCATGACTGGCTGCTGTAAAATTCATTCATCTCTTTGTGTGTGTGTGTGTGTGTGTGTGTGTGTGTGTGTGTGTGTGTGTGTGTGTGTGTGTGTGTGCGCGTGCGTGCGTGTGTGTGTGTGTGTGTGTGTGTGTGTGTGTGTGTGTGTGTGTGTGTGTGTGTGTGTGTGTGTGAGAGAGAGAGAGGGAGGGTTTCAGGGGATGGGGAGGGGGCTGTTATGTGTGTCAGGCAGCAGTCCTGCTCATCTCGCTCCACAACTTAAGTTAAATCAGAGGTTTCAGAGGTAGTCACCGGATCACTGCAGTGGGCTCTCTTATCTCTCCGTCTGTCCTCATCTGAGAGCATCATCCGCCTCCTGGTTCCACGCGGCAGGTAAGAGCTCACATCACTCCCAGAGCTTACGTGTTCCACTCACTTTTCATTTTCTTTGTGCAAAAACTTGCAAATATTTGTGTTTTTCTGAGAGCCAGATTTATCCATCAAGGCCTGTCATGGATGTATAAGTTAGTCACATGACTACACTGCTTTATTTAACACAGATCAACAAAGAAAACTTGATCCAATTCTGAATTTTGAACCAGAATCCTAAATGTAAAAGATTTACATCTTTTAAAAAATGATGAAAAATCATGAAACGGGATAAGGAGAGCAGATTCACGCCCTCTCCCTCTGATGTTTCTATATTTAAAACAGAAATCAGTTCTAAAGTGTGGCAGCGAGACAATCTTCCAGCATAAGTGGGTGATAAAAGTGTTGGAGTTGAACACAGCAGTATAGGAAACGTCTCCAGAGGCTGAAGTTTGACTCTTTAGGTCACGTGTACAGCAATAAACAAACAGCTTCTGGAGCCAATCGTGCTCATGAAGTCCATCACATGTGCTAATCCTTAAGTAACATGTGCAACTCTTTAGAAAGTTGAGACAGAACAAGAGAGCTGCAGATGAAATGCAGTCATGTAGTTCAAAAGCTGCCAGTGGCAATATATTTACTCTCCTGAGAGGAGTGAAGCAGCGCAGGATGTTGAAAGCCTCCATTGTTGCAGAACTTCCTGTTGACCAAACGGGCCTGAAATGACAACAAAACGAGGGAATGATCAGGAGGCTGGAAGTCGGTGCAGTGAGGTGAACCTCGCTTCGTAATGGGCCCGCATAAATCATTAACCCCATCAGCAGAACGCTTTAGTGGCCTTCCCTTTGCCAGATGGAGGTGCTCCAGACAGAGGCGGTTTTACCATTAGGCATAGGTAGGCGGCCGCCTGGGGCCCCCTTGTTTTGGGGGGCCCCCTAGCCCTGACGCCGGCATCCCTCTGTTAATGCCACAATATTCTTATTACCAACCTGTGGCCGCAGACGGGATTGGACATGCGCAATTCTCATTACCATAATTCCTGAACCGTTCAAGATATCATTAAAATTCCAAAAGTGCTGAAAAGATTAAAAATGGGGCTTTTCGTGCATATACAATGCATTACGGTAGCCACCGGGATTCCCTGTCTTGAGCGCAACGAATCACAACACAGATTCAGAGACGTGCTGTTTGTCATCCAAAATGCTCCGTTTTATAACTTTTGAACGGCTGATCAGATTCAAAAATTTCCAACGGTTCCTTCAAGTGCATAAGAGCAGCTTTCCAACGATCTATAGCATGAAGCAATCAGAGTTAGGGAAAATATCGCTAGGAGGGGAAATCCTGCTATACAGCCTGATTGAAACGGAGCGCAGCGCCGCGGTGAAAGCGGATAATGGAATGGGGAAGCTAATTAGCATAAAAAGCCAGCATGAAATTATCGAAATGCCTCAAAGAAAATCAACACGATCTATTAGGTGTCCCAGAAGGCTTATATTTGAAGACAGTGACCATGAAGAAGGACAGATCTCCTGTGAACCAGGGTATGAACGTTTGTTCAGTCTTTGTATTTTATTTTTTTATTTGAACAACCCTCAACTATTTGCTAATTGTAAGATTCAGCTTCATTCCAACATTATTTATCTTTTTACAATAAATAATTATTTTTCTAAAACAAGTTTTTGGTATAGCAGTGCACTTGTGCAAGAGAAACACCCCATGGCAGTATGAGGTGTGCAGGACTCTGCCTGCAGCTGGAGAGAAGCTGCTTCAAGGACCACCACATCAAATAAAAACGTCTGAAAGTTTACAAAAATAAATGGTCTTAAAAACAGCTAAAAAAGATACAAAGGTTCAAACTTTTCTCTAAGAATATATGCATTACAGTTCAAAGTTTAAATTGTTTGCCCAGTAATTTAGAAGTTCCAGTTCAGTAATAACTGTAAAAAAATCAAATCCGTTTGTTGCTTTTTTCACTTTTAAGCTGATTTTTTAAAGGCTTTGATAGAAATAAATTCTAAATACAAACCATACACTGAAAGCTGAGGTTGTTCTGAAAAAAGGAGAGAGTTACACACACTTTGCACTTTTATTACAATCTTACAGCATAAGATTAAAAAAATACCAGGCAGCCCTGTTATAATTATGGTCATAAGAGGGTTATTAAGACGGCGATGCACAAACTGGAAGTGGTTGGGAGTCATTCCACTCCAATCCAGTTGGTGGCAGTAATGCACCAAATTGTTGTTTGCTAAGTGCCATAAGACCACAAATAATAAGAAGAAGAGAGGCAGGGGCGTTCGTAACAAACTCAAAGCGATAGTCAAAACATTAAGCATGAAATTAAGATGTCCTAGTGGCTCAAATAAGAGAAAGAAACAGCATGCTTCATAAAAGCTTTTATTTTCACTTCTGAAAGTGACGTCATTTTTTATGTAAACATCAAAAGGAAGCAGAAAGGAAAGACAATGGAAAATGTTTCAAGGGAGGAATGAATGAATGAATGAATGAATGATCAATTTATTCAGTCAGTCATCTTAAGATAATGTACAATAACATGTCATAAAAATAGATACAAATACCATTTCTCACTAACATATGCTTTCATTTGTATATATGTATTGTATATAGGAAAACATGGACCAAAATGGAAAATAGAAAAAAAAAATAACTAAGGCAAAAGCACAGGAGCACTGACAGGAAGAAGAAAGCTGAGCAAATATTGAAGGCACTCAAAGGGAGAGAAATACAGGAAAAAAGAGAAGGACTAATAAAAAGTGAAAATAACTCATGTCAGAAGAGGCGAGAGTTTCGCAAATCCAGTTAAAGTTAAGACTGTTGAAAATTTTGTGTAAGGGGCCCCATGTCTGTATTCGCCTTGGGCCCCCAAATTGCTAAATCCGCCCCTGGCTCCAGATCTGGGAGCATGATCGGAGTGCTTAGTTGGTGCAACTTTCCCCATTTCTCTTAAAGTTTTAAAGATTCCCATGATCTAATGCATGAAGAAGGGACACTTTAACAGCCCTAAAATGGGATTAGACATGGAATGCTGCAACTGTTGTGTCAGTCAGGGAACATTAAACTTCCTCTGAATGCGTATTTATCATCGTTCCTTGTGAGCAGCTTTTCTGTTTGCAATACACACGGATTCTCTTGAAGCTCTTTGTCTTGTCTGAGGATGCAGCTTGTGAAGGAGATGTTTACCTTCCTGTTCGGGGTCACCATGGGTTTATGGCTCCCACTCAGTAATGTGCCATCTCACTATAGCTCACTGGACGCAAGCAACACCTAATAACCTGCATGCTTCCTCCCGGAGCCACTTTACCTTTTTCATAGGACTCAGGCAGACATATGCACATCCGCACTATCAGCGTGGAAAAATACAGCCGTACAACTGTCCCAGCAACACATATGGTCGAATTTTTTCCTTTTATTCCCATTTATGGGCATCAAAACCAAAGGGATTTCCTTCATCTGATGTAAAATAATACATTCTGGTGCTTAAGCTGCTCCTGTTTTTTTTTTTTTTTTTTTTGAGTAGTCTGAATGGAGTAAATGTGAGTGGCATCTGATCTAGTGCCCTTTTCCACAAAGTTGAAGTCTATGCAGGAAACCTGTTGCCCTTGGCACCCTCCGTAATCTTCTACGTCTGCAGCCGATACCGTTTGTTGCTTTAGCGCCCGCAGAACTCGCCCGGTGAAGGTGGAAAATGAAGAGATCCTTGAAACTACAGATAAAAATGTTCCACGTCAGAGCTCAGACTCTTTTAGCGCCAACCAAAAGGGCAGCAGGAAGGCACCCGGTGGAAGGGTTTTCAGTTTTGCAATCTGTTTTAAATAAAAAACATTCAAATCGTTATTATGCACTGAGATGCTTTCTGAGTTTGCAAGGAGGAATCTGCACGCTGGAAGAAAAATCATACAGTTGGACTGCCATCTGGTGGCAAAAACATGGCAAAGAACAATGTTTTGGCTTTTCTGCATCCCTGCTTATACTTGTTTTATTTTCTCAAATCAACCCATTTGAATTTGTATGAGATATTTGCATATTTTAAGTTTTAAAGTTCTAAATTTTGCCCAAAACGTGCTCAATTTCATGGGTTGGAGAACCCTAACCCTAACCCTAACACATAATTAGTGACAGAAGTCATCCTTTCAACTAAATTGTCCCTTCAGTTCCACTAATGAAAACCACAAAGCTATTATATTAAAAATAAAGACAATTAGCAAAATGGGACGATTTGCTTTTTACAACCATGTAACAACCTGCTCATAAAATGCAACCAAAAAAGAAAAAACGAAGCCCTGGGGCCAATTTTTTGCCGCATGCAGGTTTGGTTTTCTCACGGAGCGAAGTTTCCAGCGAGCTGAATCCCTGCTGTCCTGTTTGTTTAGGTGTGTGCTGATTAGCCGTTCCCATATTGGGCACGATGTAGCTCCACACACCCAGGGTTTCTACCCTGACATGTCTTTTTTTTACAGTGACTGGAGCCTGAATCGCTCTCCTCCCTGCTTCCTCTGCTTTTAACGGCATTGCTACCCGAGATGGCGCTTCTGCACTCAAGCTCGATTGACATGAGGTGTAAACGTTCTTCTGGGCCCTGTCACTCTGCCCGGACGGACAGAACGTTTCACAAACACCCAACGTTCATTAGCCGAGGGACGATTTAGAGGAAGCAGACGGTCTGAATAATGGTCTTTCAATAAGGCATTTTTGGAATAATGGATAACGTGCAACATCTGTTTCTCGTGGCTTGTTCATTTACAGAAATAACATAAAGCTTCAGGATGGCTTTAATGCGCAGGTCTTTAATGAGCTGGTGTTGGGTGAGCACTTTCATGGCTGCTCGTGTGGATTAGCGTTTATGGGCCATGCCAGCAGTAATGACGACTCCTCTTCCCAGACTGTCTGTGACATGTTTCTGTTGTGTTTCTTTTATAGGACTCGCTGAGGCCCTCGCCCAAGGCCCATATCAGTCGCCACAGACGCGCTCCGCTTACTGGGTCCCCCTCCCTTCCCCAGCTTAAAAGTCTCAGGATTAGGCACTAAAAAGGGGTAGGGGGAAATGTCGAACCTAACAGCGGGAGCGACAGAAGGGATAAACCTGACATGTGGCATGTCTGGAAGCCACGAGTTCATCTTCACCCTGGTACCCATCGTGTACGGCTGCAACTTTGTCATTGGCATCGTCGGGAACAGCATGGTGGTGGCGGTCATCTACTGCTACATGAAGCTCAAAACAGTGGCCAATGTTTTTGTCTTCAACCTCGCCGTGTCTGACCTCACCTTCCTCATCACCCTACCCATGTGGGCGACCTTCACCGCCACAGGGTATCGCTGGCCCTTTGGAGGGTTCCTGTGCAAGACCAGTGCAGGACTGGCCACCTTCAACCTTTATACCAGCATATTTTTCCTCACAGCTCTCAGCATTGACCGTTATCTGGCCATTGTGCACCCTGTGCACTCACGGAGGTTTCGTACAGTTGTGTACGCTCGGATCACTTGTGTGATGATTTGGCTGTTTGCTTTTGGGCTCAGTCTTCCTTCAGCCCTGACAAGGGATGTGATAAACATCAAAGACTCTAAGACCACCGTGTGTGCCATCCTGCACCCGTCAGCAGAAAATGCAGAGATGTTGAAAAAGCTCCTTCTGGCAATCAGCTTCTTGAAGAGCCTGCTGGGCTTCCTGGTGCCCTTTGCCATAATCATCACCTGCTATTGCCTCATTGGGCGGACGCTACTGCGGGCGAAACACATCCAGAAAACTTCGCATTCCCGGGAAGACGAGGTGCTGCGCATGCTCGCGGCGGCAGTGCTGGCCTTCTTCCTGTGCTGGGTGCCCCATCAGGTGTTCCACTTCCTGCAGCTGCTCACCCAGCTAAACCCGGGAAAGCACTGCGCCATCTTGGAGATCATCGACACCGCCATGCCCTTCACCATTTGCATTGCCTACTTTAACAGCTGCGTCAACCCCATGGTGTACGGCTTTGTGGGACGCAACTTTCGCAAAAACTTACTGCGCCTACTGCGCTGTTCCCCGAGGGGAGGAGCAAGGCCTCACCCGAGCATCAGCTCTAAGATGAGCGCGCTCTCTTTTCGGGCCTCTGAAGTACTCAACCTCACGGTGAAAAACAGTTCCACATATGATGTTAAATGACCAAAACGTGGTCAGAAGGCTTGACATGGGGATTATTCGTGTATTTAAGACCTCAACAAGCACCGAAACATTCAGACTGACTAATCCATGGGCCACGCCAGAATGTCAGAATCACTTCATTAGGAAAAAAAACGCCTTATCTGCTGGAAAAGACTACAAATCATTAAAAATGTGTTATTCCATCACATATAAAATGTTCTGCTGGATTTTGTCCCCATATTAAATGAATCTATTGTTCAGTTTTGTGCCTTTTGTTGGTCTTCCATTGGTTGGAATGGTGACCAAGTGCAGTAATCCACCTATGTTTTATTCTGTCATTAGCTGTACAGGGAAAAAATAAAAAAAATGTAGCTAATTATCATGTAAATATACCAAAATAAATAACGCCTGTATGAAAATGTTGTGAAAATGTTTATAAATGTAGTGAAATGTCTATACGTCACACCAACTGGTGATATTTGATGTTTTTGTGGTATTTAAACATGTTTTTTTACTGTCTAAGTGTTGTGAATATATAAAAAATGTAATAAAACTTCAAGCATCAGCCCTAAAATGTATATTTTTATCCTTATCAGTCGTTACTCACCTGAAACTTCTAGAAATGACATTAGATAATGTTTCTATTTTGAGTAATCTTGGTTAAAGTTTCCATGAGCTTCAATGAATCATTGACTATTCGTGCGTCTCCTGCTCCTCCACGTGGCACCAAAAAATGAAAAAAGTGTGAGTTTTTCAAGGGTGGATATGTGACATGGAGCTGCGTCGTGGATTAGGATTGGTGGATGGGCGTCAGGCTGAAGTTTATAAGCGATGTCCTCAGAATAGAGCGGCTTCACCACCAACATGAAGCTACTGTTGATATTTGGATTTGTGGCTCTGGCTCTGGCTGACGTCAGCCGCTTTGTGGGGTAAATGTGTTTATGTTTTACTACTGAAATCTTCCTGAGGATTAGGTGTATGTTTATGGAAGTATCAGAAGCTGGTGTGTTAATTATGACTACTTTTTTTAAAACTGAGAGTTAAGTGATTGGGGTAGTATATCAAAAGTCTCATTTATTTATTTTTTGCTTCTAGAAAAACAAATTTTCTTGTAAATATTTGTGATTTTGATCCCTAGCTTTAAACATTTTAGTGAAGTTGTTTTTATTCCTTTTTTGTGTAGTTTTACCTAATTTTCATACAAAATATTCTTTTTTTTCCATTTTTAAGCCATTTCATGCAGACTTTTGATATAAAAAAGGCATTAAAACTCAAGGGATGAGCCTCTTGCATCTACTCTGAGTTTTTAACAAATAACCAGTTTTTATTTGCATCTTTATACGAAGGAACGCCGAAAAAGATGAAAACACATTTTTATTTTGTTTATTCACCTACATGGGAAAATGACAAAGATGGCTAAGCAGTTGAGTCAACGTTAGAAACAAGATGAGGGATTATTTATTAGTGAGGATTATTTAGATCATATTTTTAATATTGATACATAAATATTAACAATGAACCTCTGAAACATTATTGGATGACATTGTTGCAAGGTGGGTTTCATCTCAAGTATGAGGAATGTCTGCTCACAGAGATAACACGTTATTTCTTTGTTGACTGTAGAAGTTCAGTCACGCACATGTTTGGAGGTATTTGAGAGTCACACATTTACTTTTTCTATATTTGTTTATTTCAATTTGATTTGCTCATAGTCGTAGAGACAAAACAGGATTTTATTTTTTTTTTTACATGTTTTAACTTCATTTTCCTCATCTTTTTGTTTGTTTTTTGTTTTACAGAGACAAAGTCTTCAGACTGAAGCCACGGTTGGACAAACATGTGACTCTCATTAAGGAGCTGGAGAAGAACATTAATGTAATACACACTGACTGTACATCTGCTATCATTACATTGGTTTGTGAACGTGTGTGTGTGTGTGTGTGTGTGTGTGTGTGTGTGTGTGTGTGTGTGTGTGTGTGTGTGTGTGTGTGTGTGTGTGTGTGTGTGTGTGTGTGTACGAGTGAATGACTGGTTGTTTTGTAAAGCACCTTGGGGGGTTGTAGAACTCTAGAGGACACTATATCATATACAGGCCAGTTGTCATTTACCACAACTAGTTGGTTAGCATTGAAAATTAGAACATTTAAACTTGGTTTTGAGATTTAAATGAATAAAGTTTTGAATTTTAGACACTTATTGCCTCCTAGGAAAACAAAAACTTCTTTTAGGTGTTCATACTGGAATGGTTTTTAAGTTGCTGGACTTTGGTGCCACCTGCAGGTTGATATGTGGAGTCCAGGGAGCTCTGAACAAGTCACTATTGACATTGATGTGGACATCCGCGTGCCAGCTATGTACCTTGACATTGTGTTCACCATGTTAGATCAGAGCGACATGGAGCATGAGTAAGTCACCAGACAGATGTGCAAAAAACAGGAGACATTACTCAAGACTTTATGACCATCAAGAAAAAATATTTCAAAGCTTTTTGATTATTTCGATGAATTTCTCTTTAGGATTCTGATTGAGGACGTTCAGGCTGCCGTTGATGGTCAGGCTGACAGCGGAGGGTCTCCTAGAGCCCACAGTTACACCAAGTACAACACCTGGAGCGACGTGAGACTGGAAAAACAACACAAATACCAACTTTCCTGATTATTTTGCATATTAATGCAGTCTTTTTCTTAAATTTCAGGTCCAGAACTGGATTAACTCCATTTCCTCCGCCAACCCTAGTCTAGTCAGCAAGCTGGTGATTGGAAACACATTCGAGGCACGCCCCATGACTGTCCTCAAGGTATTACATGAAGATATCAACATCAGTCCTACTTGTTCAGGAACTGTAGTTTATTGAGTAAATCTGCTCTACAGCTCGGTAAGGCCTCCAGCTCCACCAAGCCTGCTATCTTCATGGACTGTGGTATCCATGCCAGAGAGTGGATCTCTCCTGCTTTCTGCCAGTGGTTTGTCAAGGAGGTAGGACGGACAAGTAAATCTGAAATAAAGCACTACATTTAAGAGTTTTCTTGCAGAGGTGTGGACTCGAGTCATTATTTTAATGACTTCTGACTTGACTTGATAAAATCTATAAAGACTTATGACTTGACTCGGACTTGAACGCCAATGACTTGCGACTTGAATCGACTTGCATCTGTTGATTTGATGATGACTTGAGCATGTTTGATATTTTTGCATAAAAGTGGCACAACACGGACAAAAATCATGAATCATTCTCGCTTCTGGGTTTGATGTTGTTCTGCTAAATGCAGCAGCATCAGTTTCAGCTGCACTTTCTGCTTGTTTAAGCAAATAAACGAAGCTTTAAGAAGCTTTATTTCTGGAATTTATTTATTATCATTGTCATTACATTGAAGTTGGACAGATGACTTGATTATGACTTTAAAATTCAAAGTTAAGGACTTGGACTTCACTTGGACATCCACATCATTGACTTTGGACTCGACTTGGACTTGGTTGTCTTTGACTTGGACTTGACTCGAGACTTGACTGGAAAGACTTGTGACTTACTTGTGACTTGCAAAGCAGCGACTTTGTCACACCTCTGTCAGAAACAGAAGAGAGAAGAGAAAAAAATGTGTGTTTGGTGTATTTAAAACAGAATTATACTAGTCACTGTGAACAAAGATGTTTTTTTCACCTACTGTGTGTTTCTCAATAAGTTGGGGTGCTTGGGAAAGACTTGTGACTTACTTGTGACTTGCAAAGCAGTGACTTGGTCACACCTCTGGTTTCTTGTAAATGTATTCATTGTTTTAACAATATTTTTCAGGCTCTGTCCACTTATGGCAGTGATTCTCAGATGACCAGCCTGCTCGATGAGATGGACGTCTTTGTTCTGCCCGTCTTTAACATCGATGGCTACGTGTACACCCATACAAACGTACGTCACAGCCAATTCAAGTCCAAATTCACTATATTGCATAAACTATTCTATCAAGATTATGTTAAATATTTTTATTTGCTTTTGAATAATTTGGGAACTATAGAACAGAATGTGGAGGAAGACTCGTTCCAAAAAATCTGGATCCAGTTGCATCGGAGCCGATCCCAACAGGAACTTTGATGCTGGCTGGTGCAGTAAGTAGAAAAATTAAGAAAGAGTAAGGGGAGAACCAGATGAAATAAAAAAATAAACTCTAAATCAGTTCAGCAGATGCTGAAATATGTAGGAACATCATTAAAAACTTAGCTACTTAAACTTGTGAGCCACTGCAGAATAATACCTACAAAGTAAACGTTGTTCGAGATTTTAAAACCGCATTTACCTTGTCGTTGTTAAGAATGCAACTTGTGGTTTCCAATGTTGCATTCCAAAAAGCCTGTGCCGTCTCCAACCTGCTTTGTAAATTAATGATGTTAAAGCTGTAATAGAGAAACGGTTGGTTCTAAGAAAAGCTGCTGTAAAGCATCATAAGCATACACACCACCTTACTTTTATTTGTGCCGACCCACTTTGACTTTACCAATATATAAACATTGGTCATGGCTAACCACAGAGCTATGCTAGCCCAAGCCCAAGGGGGTCAGGTTTTTCCTTCGTGGGGGGTTTATTTGCTCGCCGCTCAAGGCAACCAGGGCGTCAGATTCAGATAACAAGAATTTGTTTGGGTCAGGCTGAGATAATTTTCCTGTCAGCCTTCAGTCTTTAAACTGGTCATTCCAGTCCTTCAGTAAAGCCAATTTTGGGTTTTTAAACCTGTCCATACCGTCCGATGACTCTCTCCGAGATGACATCCATTTTGCGCACTAATACCGGTATCACAGCTAGAACATTGTCCAGCTTTCGATTCACCTCGAGTAACGTCCCAGTCTGAGAAGTCTCCACACGGACGGTGCTTTCCGTGGGTGCGGGTCGCCCTCCAATCGCTCCCGTCTTCCCAAATTTCCAGAAAACCAGATATTCTCCCACTCCAATCAGAAGAAATCCAGTGATCAACAGGCCGAATATCCACACATCTTCGATATCCTCAACGGACAGCTGGCTGAGGCATATGATCTTCCACTCCTTCCAGGAATCCAATATATACCCCACCGGGTGCGTCCCCTGTGGACATGTGGGAGGCCCTGCTCCGTTCTCATTGTAGAAAAAATCTTATCGATCGCATCGAATGACCAGTTTATCAAATCCATGGTTAAAAATAGAGTTTTTCAGAAGAAATGCAGAGAAGCGCTCTGTGGGCAGACAGGACAACGAACCTTAGGAAAAAAAGATAAGGGAGTGGAAGAGAGAAGCGTCTGTACTCCTCGAGTGCCTTGAAGAGAAAAAAAATTAAAAAGCACATTTGTAGTCCTGGACTTATTTTCACACAAAACCTAAATTAGAGTTTCCCCCTGTTTGAAAATAAGCGAGATCTTGGTATCAAAATGTGTCTTCAAAATTCACGGACATCATATGTGAAATCCATGGCACAAAACAAGTGGGATTAGAAAACAGCATTTTTAGTCCCGTTAACTTGCATTCATTTTTTCTGTTCTTCCGGGGACCCATGGTCCAGAAGTAAGTGGGCGTGACTTAGGTTCCCTATACAGCCATTTGGGTAAAATGGCCAATCAGACTGCAAATCATTTGCTTTTCATGTCCTGGCCGGGTGGGCGTGGAAAACCAGTCTTTCCATTTTCAGGCTTCTTATGGGGTTGTATTGGGCCATTTATCAGGGCTCCTGGGCCTTTTTGAGCCCCAACAAAGTTTCATACGCCATATAAATAAAGCAGTTTTAGAACATCGTTAGTTTCAGGCACCTTTCTTAGCTAGAACTGTAGAGGTATGAAATCACTTTGGATTGGATCGGGCCCCCACTAAAAGAATGCTGAAGGTCTAGGACTGGAAACATCTATGGTAATCACAGATGGTGCATTCACATTCATACCTCCACCCTACCCAAATGCATCTTTGTTTTTATATTTGTCCTCTGTCTCTGCGCCTGTCCACTCCACATTCATGTCACAAGTTCAATAAAATGAACTATTCAACAGGAGGAGTACTTAGAACTGCTCCTGATTCAGAGTTTAGTGTTAATCTGCTTTGATATAGTGAAACATTCTGATCCACCATTCTACATGTTTAAGGTGTCGCTAAAGGACAGGGAAAAACAATCAAATTCATAATCTTCAGCTGGATTTGAACACTTGGAAAGCTTTCCGAATTCCAGGCAACAGGTCAAAAGAATCCATGAAACGGGCAAGAGTGCAAAAACAGGAAAGAAAAGAAAAATGAAATTAAACCAAACTTTTTTTAACGCAGTGAAAGTTTAATAGGAATTAAAAAAGGATATGAATGAGACAATCAGAAACAGACAAAAGAAGAACAAAATTTAATTGACAAAAATCGGAACTGTTTTAATCTTTTTGAAGCACGTTTTTCAAACTTCACTGAAAACTCTGAAAAAGCTGGTAAAAGACAGCTATCCAAGGACGTCCGGATGTCTCAGTCATTTTCCTGATGCATGATGACCCTCTCATTCTAAATAGGTTCACTAATTTGTCACTGCAGCTCTTGGAGCCTCCAGTAACCCCTGCAGCGACACCTTCTGTGGCTACAATCCTGAGTCGGAGATTGAGGTGAAGAATGTGGCGGACTTCATCCGTAGGAACAAGTCCATCATCAAGGCCTACCTCACCATACACTCGTACTCTCAGCTGCTGCTGTTCCCCTACTCCTACAAGTACGGGCTGGCTGCAGATCACACTGAGCTGGTGAGTCGAGAACGTATCAAACAACACGCCTGGATCTACACAGGAAATAACTGTATATTTGGGTGCTTTCCAAGTAATGCAACACATGGAATATCAGTAAATCTAATGTTTTTCAATGATTTGAGTGCACTAGACTAGAAACCAACTCTTATCTACAGGCCACATTAAACCATAGACTCCCTTCTCACAGATCTCCCCCTCACAGCTTTCTTTCCTCCCACTGGGGTGTCCGAGGCCTGCACAGTTAACGCACCCCCCCCCACTCCAGTTCTCTCACACTAACCGAGGCAGATCACACATCTCTGCCTCTTCTATTGCTCGCCTGGGATTTAGGGCTCTCTGCCGACACTTTACTGAACAAAAGAACCGCAGGGATCCATCGTAGCTCCTATGTGACCTTAGAAAAATCATTTCCTGCTCATGCATTGCTCTGGGGGTTTCATTTCCTCTTGCAACTCTTCCCTAAAGCTTTTATTTTATTGCAATAATGGAGGAAAATGTTTTATTAGAACAAGTGCAAATGGTGGTGGTCTAGTCTCAACTGCAATTATGTTTTGGAACATGTTACAAGCTGTAAACTCACAAACCAACATAGAAATGTCAAAATAACGAACTAAAAGAACTAGTGTTCTTTGATGGTATGCACATCACCCTGACCGTTTCATACCACAGTTAGAAACTAAGAACGTACAAATAAATGAGTTTTAGCTGTTTTGGCCAAAACTTGAAAATAATATTATACATAATATTTTGCAAACTGTTAGACCTCGTTGAATGAGTTACCATTGACTTTCAGTTAAATTTAAACAAAAAAAAACTGCAGAACTGACTGAGTTGGGGCCATTTTTGTGTTGGTTAACATAAATCCTCATCAATGGGTTGACTCCAAAAGTGAATCTGTTGTTGCTATGCGTCCGATGACTACTATGTAAGAGTCTCATTAAAATCCATGATGTAGTTTGTGAGGAATTTCGCTAACAGGCAGACAGGGTTTCCTCCAACAGTCATCCACATAGAAAAATGGGTCTGGCCCAGTTCTGGCCCACACCATTCCCACTGAGCCCAGATACCTCAATGAAGGACAGGCCAAGATCTAATTTTCCAAAAGTGGTGCACACATGGGCTTGATGCTGCCATAGTCAGGCCATGTTTGGCATGCCATCGTCTGGTTGACATACAACAAGCCAGTTTGATCTGGCCCAGACCTGTTTTCCATCCGGGCAGTCACAAAGATGTAAGCAAGGGTCTTGGGCTATATGTAGCTCACGGAGTGTTGGGAATGACCCTCAAATAGCACTTGGGAGTATGTGTTGGGGATGCCACTTAACCACTATGACACCAACGTTAACTCAATCTCTGTAAAACTGACTATGTAGTGGTCGCCTTTGTGTTGGCTAAGGTTCATTGGCATTGGAGACAATCTTGACTTGGGTTGACCAAAACCGTAATGTATGAATGGCTATTTGAATGCATTTGATTGCAGCTGGACCAATGGTACATTGACATTAAGTTGATACATATGAGATATTGACAATGGAACAAAACGCATACAAATAAAAAATTCAGGCAATGCCAAAAGAAGAGTTCAAGGGTCCAAAAATCTTTCAGGAGAAATTCAAACATAAACTTTAAACCTATTTATTTTTCTTTATTGAAGATGACAGTTGCTCAAGGAGCTGCTTCCGCTCTGCAGAGTTTGTATGGAACCCGCTACACCAGTGGACCTGGTGCCACAACTATCTGTGAGTGCATCAAAGAATAACCTATGGCCTATTCTCTAGTATTGTACATTTCACAATATCATCTTTATAGAAGTAGGACCCTCCAGAGACAACAAAAACCCCATCATTTATGGATGGAGCTCTCAATAATACCCTCTCTGCTCATCTGCCTCCAGATCCTGCTGCAGGAGGCTCCGATGACTGGGCCTATGACCTGGGAGTGAAATACTCCTACACCTTCGAGTTGCGTGACACCGGTCGTTATGGCTTCCTGCTGCCTGAGTCTCAGATCAAGCCCACATGCGAGGAGACCATGCTGGCCGTCAAGCACATCGCCGCCTACGTGCAGAAGAACCTCTATTAAAAAGCAGCCAGGACCCCTGCCAACGCAGCTTCTCTGAACCAGCACCACCCCCTCCTGCAGCCCCTTCCCAACCCTCTTAGCCATCTTCTGTTCATAACCATGGATACAGGCGCCACCCGCCATGTTTTCTCACTATGTTTGACAGCATGTCAGGATGAGTGCAAACAATAAAATCAATGATCCATCCCCATAGGCTGAATCAATTAGTTGTGTGTGTGTGTGTGTGTGTGTGTGTGTGTGTGTGTGTGTGTGTGTGTGTGTGTGTGTGTGTGTGTGTGTGTGTGTGTGTGTGTGTGTGTGTGTGTGTGTGTGTGTGTGTGTTACGATACACATAAAAGAAAATGCTACTGTAAATAATCGTTAAAATGTTAGAAAGGAGCTGGTTTGGGGGGATTTTAAAGAAAATATATCTGCATTCATCCAGTTTAAACCATGACAGTCCCTTTTGTACAAATGGCAACATGTCAATGGGGAAGGTCTGGCGGGGGGGGGGGGTCTTTGAGGATTTCAGTCCAGCAGCTCAGAACGCACCAGGCTCTCCTTGGCAGCTTCTCCACTCTGCCACGCATCTGATTGAGTGTGAAGATGAAGGAGCCAATGGTCAGCAGGAGGGTCACTGGCGAACAATAACTGGGGCGAAAGTGTCTGAAAAGTTTGGTTATTTTAACCCTCTCAGGCTCAAAATAATTTTAGATAAAAGGACGAACAACGAAGTCCTTTAGGGGTACTTCTGAGTTTAAAATGCTCATGAAATACGTTTGTATTTCTTCTTTCCTGGCGGTCTGCTCCTGAAACGTTCTGACGTGTTTTCTTTTTGGATGTTTTGGGACTTTCCACTAGAGTCAACAAAGCAACAAGTTCCTCATTTTCACTCCCTCAAGTTTTCTGTCCTCTTCTTCTCTGAGATGGGTGTTCAGATCATCGATGATTTTGTTATTTTTTTCAAAAACATATTTCAATGCTAGTTCCACCTGACAGACAGCTTTAGAGATGGCTACATCCACGTGCACCACACCACACCTGTGGGAGGCCTTGCGCAGAGCCAAGCATGTGTCTCTTACAATTTTAATTTCAGTCTTGCAGGTTTTAAAGAAAGTCTGTTTTAACACCTTCTCAGTAACAAGAAATGTGCTCCCCCCCCCCCCCCCCCTTGATTTTCACCTGATCTGTTTTATTTGTTTACTTTGCATAAAAAATAGATTGTGGCCTCATGTGAACTGAGGAAGTATTGTGATCATAATTTAGCCTCATGTTTGTATTGTGATGTGAGGAGCTCAATTTCCTTAACTACTGTTTTTCCTGTGCAAAATTACTATTATCGGCTGATATTTGCACGTATTATACATCAAACTCTTCCTCTCACTAAAAATATCAAAATATGGCATATATGAGATATAGATTTTAAAATAAATATATATGTTTTGTTTGGTCTGGCCTATACTAAATAGAATTAGCATTTATATTTTGCACAGATAATGTTTCAAGTTTAAGTATGCATGATAGGAGATATGTGATGCTATAGGTACCTAAAAGGATTTAGTTTATGAGAGAGGACCCTGCATATATTGGTGTAGCCTAGGTTTATATCAGTATCTGTTTGTAAGAGTTAGACTGTTCAGGTATATCAATAAAAACTGATATCAAACATCCCTGGTAAAATAAATGGTTTATTAGTTTCCTCCCAACCGCAAATGGTGTCCTGGCATTGAGCAATACCATTTAGAATGATCAGTAAATTTAACTTTTATGACTTAGGAACTAGTGATGCACCGATATGATATTTTTGGGCTGATACCGATATCCGATATTGAGATCATTGTTATGGCCATAACCGATATTTGCCGATACCGATATGCTGACATTAATGCTTCTGAAATCAGCAGATTTTGAATAGAATGAAAATTATTATAATACGTTATTATGTACACAAAACACACTTTCACGGTTCTGAGATGATTTCATCCACTGTTCGCATGACTAAACAATTACGCAAAAAAACCCTCACCCTCTGAAACAGGCAAACAAATGGAGACGAGATGGAAAAAATATCGGTTGTTAACATCGGCTCAGTTTTATTCATCGAACCGATATGTTAAAAAATGACTAACATCGGCCGATATTGATGCCAATATATTGTCTGTCCCTATTAGGAACTGAAATGTACCTTTTAGTCCCAAAAAAGACACACACACACACATTTACTTAAAATATTCAATCCACCCTAGAGAGTAAATAAGTCCAAAGTATAACTTAGTCGGGTCAAATATCTACTTCCTTTGTGCTCTTATTTTGACTGTACACACTTCCTCCTAGAGTAGGGTTATTTAGTCAGCTGTTATGGTTAAGCTTTCTGGCATTCTGATTTAGCACTCAGCTGTGTCTTTTAGAAGAAAATGCAACTATGTCAAAGAATCACACTTCAAAAAATTCAATATATAACTTTTAGAGTTTCTCTCCTGTTCTTACTAGATTATGAGTCCCTAAAGTTTCTGATTCACCGTTTAATCTGACTCACAACGTGTTGTGCAACGTCATCAGGGTCAGAGATCTCAGCCACTGTGCAGGAACTGCTTGCTGTAACACCATTTCTCCACTAGATGACGCCAAACATTTAAATGGAACTTTTTCAAAATTAACTTTACACTCTTTCCAGCCAAAAAAAAAAAACACCTACAAAGATAACGCCTCCCACCTAAAGGACTTAACATTTGTTTACTCTAAATAAGTTACATATTTAGACACATTTGTTGATTTTAGAGCAGTTTAGGGCAACTAACTTATAAATATATAATTAGTAAAAGGTATCCTTTAATGTGTACATTTGGGGGTTGGATAGCCCCCCCCCCCCCACCCCCCCCCCGTCCCAAGGATCACATTAGCAGCAGGTGGGTGTGTGGAGAAGACCGTCACGTGACCTGGCTGTCACAGTGTTATAAATTCACCTCAGTCTGTCGCGTCAGTCCTTTTCTAGCCTCTCAGCTCGAAGCCGCTGTCTCCGAGTCTGGGACACCGTAGCTTCAGCCATGGCAGGTAGGTTCTGTTGTTTCACCTCACGCTTGTGTTTGTCACGCGCAGGTGCGTCTGCTCCAAAGTTTGTTTTTTAAGTCTAACGGACACTTTCTCGCGGATTTTGTGGCGTTCATGTTGTTGTTTGGGTTATTTTAACTTTTAAAAAGAGCAACCCCTAAAGAAATTTACTCTGTCAGCTCCACTTTGAACATTGTTATGCAGTATTTTTGTTTTGTTTTTAAAGCTAAGCCGTGCAATTGACTTAAAAATTCCAATAATGTCCCTTATCCTGAATGTTCCTGTTGAGAACTTGTTAGTTGATCAATTTGAATATTTGAGGTTACATTCCTGACCCCTTGTGGATCCTGGTCTGAGAACCACAGACGTTCTGCATTCCAAACCTCAAGAGCTCACTTCGGATATAATAAGTCTGGGAATTGTTCCTTCTCACTTGGAATTGGAGGAATCTTAAATCTGAACAGTCTCATCCTTTTTGCCCCAAACATGTCATGCTAAAGTCCTTAACACATCACTGCTTTCATCCAACAGAAAGTAGGTGTGAAGGGAAGGGGGTGTGATTCCTGGCATGCTCTGCTAATGGGAGCCATTGTTCTCAATCTGGCACTGATGTAATTGGGTTTCTGCTGTAGCCTGTCCTCTACCCATGCTTTGGTTTTCTTTGCTATGATTTTACAAGTAAAATGAACCTTAAGGAATTGATATTGGACGGTTTGCACGAACACTTCTGTTGCCGTGCTGACATCATCCAAGCTTATGTTCTCACAGGAGATCATTGTTGGATGCCATGGCTTGGCTGGTAGCTAGTTTTTCCTGCCACCAGTTTAAAGCGGTGCTGCAAATAAGTTTGTCATATTTCCAAATAAAAACCTTTTTTTTTCCCCCAGTCTTTTTCTGAAGGGAACTTTTCCCCATATGTTGCACATTTGAAGCTTTAAGGTGTCCAAACAAGCTTAAATTTCCACAGATCAGGCCTTTGTGACACTGGCTACCAACGACAGCTATGCTCAGGGTGCCATGGTTCTGGGCAAGTCCCTCCGTAACCACAACACATCCAAGAAAATGGTGGCACTCATTGGCCCAATGGTGTCGGAGCCTTGCCAGTAAGTAAACATTCTTCACCAACGTGACGCCCGTTGGCCTGTCTGCTCTTGTTTCCCACCTCATTGGCACCATTGTCACTCATTAGGTCTGTGCTGAAGAGGATCTTTGATGAAGTGAAGGTGGTGGACGTGCTGGACAGTGGTGACACGGCTAACTTGGCCTTGATGATGAGGCCAGAGCTGGGCGTCTCATTAACCAAGCTCCACTGCTGGACCCTCACTCATTACTCTAAGTGTGTCTTTATGGATGCGGACACTCTGGTGAGCTTTTTCTTGTTGGAACTGTTCCACACAAGCATGAAATGGCTCTAAATCACAGCTGCACTCTTTTGGCTCCCTATCCCAGGTGCTTTCTAACATAGACGAGCTGTTTGACAGAGAGGAACTGTCTGCTGCTCCTGATCCTGGCTGGCCCGACTGTTTCAACTCTGGTGTGTTTGTTTTTCGGCCATCTTTGGAGACCTATGGCAGACTGCTTCAGCATTGCACAGAACACGGCAGCTTTGATGGTAAGCCAAGATGTGTACTTTATGTGCTGGGATGACCTGTCATTTAGACCAGGTCTGTTCCTGACTCTGAAAAGTTGCTTGAAGTGAGCAAAGTGTTTGTTTTCAAAATGTATCAGACTTTGAAAAGTTCATTACGGTAAAGTTATTTAGTTTGGCCCAAAGTTGATCACATTTGCTCTCAAGTCCCTTTCCTCTCAAATCAAGGATTTGATTGCTTTTAATCCCTCAGTTGTCTTCACCTCAGGCTTTAATGTGATTTGGGTGAGTCTTGGTAACGTGATGTAAAACCAGGCTTGTTTATCTTTAGTGCTGAGTAAGGTCTTTCCCAGTTCCTGAACACAAGGCCCTCCTGTCTGACTTTCTAGCTTTCCTGGGCTATTCTTGGAAGGCCTTGCCTCGGCGGGGTGGAAGTCGTGTTTGAGGCCCTGATTTGCAGAGTTCTGGTTTGTGTTTTCTCCTTGTAGCGATTGAGGCTCGATGATTAAACTAAAGCATCTGAACGGGAATATGAAGTCACTGCTGTGTTTGGTTCTAATAGTTTAGGAGAAATTTGTCTGCAGTGCCCGTGCAGATAACATTTCTCCTGGTACCTGTAAACCAAGTTAACTCTAACAAATGCATGATTCATATCACAAGTAAGTCTAAATGTGTCTTTCTTCTAAAAAGGGTCCTTCTACATGGATGTGTTCAGGCTTAGCGGTACAATAAGTGAGTTTTCTGGTATGTGCCTCCATGGCTACCGTAGAGTGCATGAGGTAGCAGGATGAGATTTTAAAAGTGCGGTCTACAATTCCTTTAGTCGGTAGCTTTATTTCACTGAAGTAGAAATGCAAACATGCAGAACAAGTATGAAACGATTAAACTCTAGACCACATCTACTTCAGCTCCTGATTTAAATCGATGCTTTAAGACTTCTGCAGAAGTTGGAAACTTGCTGAACGGGTTGCTCGGCTGATGGATCAGGTTAGAAGTGTGTAGGAAAGTGGTCCTTGACCAGAGCTTTACACTGACTAGAGTGTTGACTTAAACTGTCACCAAAAACACCAATAACAACTTTCTCACCTAAAGATGTTGCAGCAGATTTTTATTATTTGGAGTTATTATCTGCTCATGCAGCTACTGTCTCGGAGCTGCGTGTATGAAACGGGTTGAAGCGATGCCGTCTCAAGTCCTTGCTTACCAGTTTAACCATCAGTACTTCCATGTGTAGGGAAGGGCAGAGTTGGGTATGAGAGGATTTGGGTTGTTTAGCTAGTTGGGACAGGAATTGGAGCCTTGTTAGCGAAGGGAGACGGCGGTCCTTGTGATGCTGCGACAGACTCCATCGAGGTGATTTTCTTTAGAAAAACAATTAGTTTATGTGGGCCAGTTCTTTTCTTTTAGAGCACTGACCTGTTTCTGGGTGTAGCGGGCGAGCTGGCTGGTCATCTGCCCGCTGCAATCACAGCAACCTACAAAAACCTTTCATCTGCTCATCTTGTTTATTATGGGCTTTATTTTAAGCATTTCACCAGTGATTCTGCTGCCAGGAGACCCAATGGTACGCTTATTTATAGCCATGGAAGTTCTCCTCACGTGCACTGGGATATGCGTGCAGTTGCTTTGACTTTTTTTTTTAATTAATAAAAGTTTTACCTCTGATGGCTCGCATGTGCAGCTCCTATCTGCTGGATGACTGAATGAGAACAGAAGTCTGGACCTGGAGGCCGAAGCTGTACATCTGTGGCTTTCGTGCCGTCTGCTGCCAACTGAAAGCGATGGGGTTGGAGGCACATTCTTGCTGAGCTCGGCTCATCCCCTCAAAATGAACGTCCTCAGTCCTATATTAGGTTTTGAAATCCCCAGAGGAGACTATGGGTTTGAATAAACAGCTGTTTTCACAACTGAGGCACTCTTGAGGTTTCATGGACTCATCACTGAATGTTCTTGATGGAGAAACTCCGGCTGATTACCGTCGGGTATAAACGGACCCTGCTTACCACAGTGGGCAGTTCTTGGGTCTAAATAAGGGGCTCGGCCTTAACCTGAGGTGACTACAGTACAAAGGTTAAATTGAGCAGTGTTCTCCACCAGATAACCCGTCTCCTCTGATTATTTAAAGCTGACTGGGCTTCAACAGGGATGGGTGTCATTAGAAGTTGCAACACGTTGGTTTGGATTATTGTTAAAAAGATGAACAGTTGGCTTCTGGTCGATCCGCACTGCAGCTGTGAGCCAGGAGATGATCCTGGCTGCGGGAAGATTTCTGTAGCCGAACACAAACATCTGGTTTTCACATGTCACTCCTTTGATTTGGCTCACTAAGCATGACTAAGCATTTTTATGTGTATTCACTTAAAACCTTAAGTCTAAATATCTAATGGTGGCCTTGAGTTGAACTTAAGGATCTCTGAAAGCATCAGCGGAGACGGGTGGTGCTGTCAGGGTCTGGGTGAGGTTCCTCTCCTTCTCGGTTCATGTGGTGTAATCCACCATGTTTTAAACCTACTGAGGAACCTGGAAGTGTTCGTTTGTAGACATCAAGACTGTAGGATGTAATTTTTAATTAAGTCAGAATTCCTACAAATTGTCTGAACGTTGAATCAGACGTTTGTGTGGGGTCGAGATTTATTTTAAGCATTGAGTCTTTGGTTTAGTTCTCCCAAGACCAGTTCATGTTCCATCTTTCAGAGGATTTAATGACCACACGTTCTCATGTCTCTGCAGGAGGAGACCAAGGTGTGTTGAACGGCTTCTTCAGCGACTGGGCGACTGCTGACATATCAAAACATCTCCCTTTCATTTACAACCTCAGCAGCATAGCGATCTACACTTACCTTCCCGCCTTCAAGCAGTAAGTAGTCTAAATGGTTCAATGTGGAACCTAACAAATACTGCAGCGGTCGGTTGGTGTGACAAAGTGTGCTCTGAGCGGAGGCGTAAGCGGAGACCTGATCACATGAACGTGTAGTCGCATTGTGACATGACATCGAGTTACAAGGGAGAGATGAGCGCTGGGATTCCAGACACTCAGCTGGAGCGTCACCCAAGCGGGCAACGGCTTTGGGCTAACATCATCCTGACTCCCAACAGCTGATCCCTCCTACTCCTAAAATAGAGCACTTTATTTAAAGACCAATGTTTCCATCCTGGTCTGGTCATTGTGTCCAGCCTTCAGCTCTCTCATCCACACCACTCTGCTCAGGAACAAATGGCATTAACGAGCTCCTAGGTTTGGTATTTCCTGCCATGTTGAGATCAGAGAGGTGGTAAACATGGTTTTTGTTGCTGGCTGTCAGCAGAAGTGGTTAGAAGTCAGGCTAAGGAAACAAAACCGTCTCCCAAGGGGCTGGGTTTATGTTCATTTGGCTGTCCGTGGCAGTCTGCCAGCTTTACAGTCCTTATCTGTACGGGCTTTAGAGTCCAAATCTACTTCAGCATCAGTTTTAGGGACCGCTTCATTCATATTGAGCCAAAAGCTCAAGATTCATGGCTTAAAGATGAGCAACAAATTGAATTAGGGTGTTTAAATGTTGCTTTAGTTTGGAACTTTAAAGTAGAGCTTTAATGTTTCATATTCGACACCACTCTGCAGTCGTCTGCTGACCAAAAAACACACTTGATGGCTTTGTGGAGCGGGTAGGTGTCGTGGAGGGAGCTTTACCCACTTTATGGCTGTTGGCTAGCGGTTAGCATATTAGTTTGCTAATCAATAAATAACTAGAAGCTTGCTTTTTCTGTTTGCATCATGGCAGAGCCTGGAAGGAGAAGCGAGGCCCAGTCCCAATAGTAAGACTTCCACCCGTGTGCGTTCACGTCCAGGTGTGGGTGCGTAGGGCAGGGCTATTTAATTCTGGGCCTCGAGGGCTGGTATCGGCTCTTTTTGGTTCATCAGCAGGTGAAACTGGCTTCTGCAGAGCCTGAGCTGCTGCACAGGTGAGTTTCAGTCGAAGCGATGCTCCCCGTCCCCATTTGGCACACTGGTGTACTACGCACTTAAAGCGTTACTGTGCACCTCTAGTGCATTTCACCGAAGGGTGTAGGGAACGGTGTGGACTTGGTGCCTAGTTTATGCTTCTGCGTCAGCGCAGAGACGGTCACAGACGTGCATCCCTGCTAGGGCTCTCCAGCAGACTCTCAAAGATGGATGGAGATGAGCCTGCTTTTCCAAACATCCGTTGAACAAGATGGAGAACGCAAGCTTTAACTGGAAGAGCAGAATCATAGTAGTGTGTTATTCGTGGATGGGAATGATGGAATGTGAGTGCATGAAGAGGTGGAGAAGCATAAACTAGGCAATAATATCTTGGGCAAAGCAGAGTGATCACGGGCGTGGCAGACACTGAAGAAGCACAGGGAGGCAGCAAAACCGCAGACTGATGGTGACCAGGCTTTGTTGCTACTGGACTTAAGGGTTTGTTTTTTTGTGTTCAAAAGTGTTTCTCTTTACTTGGTGGCTTATTTAAATATTATCTGGCTCATGTTGGTGTGGTCGTCAGCACTAGCAGCAGCAGGGTTCTTTATGACCGTTGTAATTCCATTTTAAACCAGCAGGTGGAGGAGCAAGAAACTGCTCACTGTTACTTTAATGAGGAACTCTGCTGTGTTAAGGTATGGTGGAAATGCTAAAGTGATCCACTTCCTTGGGAGTACGAAGCCATGGAGTTGCACGTTTGACCCCAGCACTAAACAGATTTCCGGGGGTGGGCAAGAGGCCGCTGCACGCCCCTGCTTCCTGGTGGACTGGTGGACCCTTTACGCCAGCGCTGTGGAGCCGATGCTGCAGGAACAGTCTGAAGAGCAGCCTTTGCTCTCTGGCTGTGTGGAGGTGAATGATGCATGATTTCTGTTAAAGCAGGTCCAGCTTAGAGGGCCGAGCTGTGTTGCTGCTAAATGTCCAGTTTTAGTTTTTCTAGTGGCTGTTAAATGTGCTGTAGCTGCTTTTAAAAAATGGAAATGCAGTTGGACACCTTTTTTTTTATGCTGCAAGTACATCCTGTAATCCGTCTACCCCTCTTGTTTCCCAAAGTCCCAGCAAAGTGACTCGGTCACTACTGAGACTATACAGGTATGGAGACCATTTAGTTTGTGATTAACTGTTTGGCACCTGGTTTAATACGGTCACTGCCTCTAAACTAAGCTTTGGTGTGTTTGCTTGTGACTATTAACACAGAGAGGGTACACGTGGTGAGTTCTGAAATACTCCACTGGTTTTCTAGCCCCTCTAAACTAGTGTCACCTACTTCAGTTAACTGGGTTTCTTGTATTTTCTTTTTAGGAGGAGAGCAGCTCATCACATGCACCCCTGCTTCCCACGATGTCTTCAGAGGAACGCAAAGAGCAGTGGGAGCAAGGTCAGGCCGACTACATGGGATTGGACTCGTTTGACAACATCAAGAGAAAGCTAGACACGTTCCTGAAATGACATGGCGAATGAAACTGAATAATAAAGAGCACTTGCAGTTTAACACATGGTCACCATGTATCTTCAAGAAAATGCTTTCAGTGGGTTTCATCTTTTTCCCCCTCAACTAGAAATAAGACAGTCTCCTGTGAGCTCAAGATCATGCATTAAAAGTTGTGACATGGGTCTGAAAAGTTGTTTTTACCCTGCTTCGCTATGAATGAGGACAAGTTTACAGTTTCACTGTACTGTTTCATATATCAAGTCTGTGCTTTATGTAGTGTTTTTTTAATTCAGTTTGCATTTTCTCAGCTTCTGACTTTAAAAAATTAGAAAATGTTTACAGTACTGTTAAAGGCCTTTCAGTCATGAACTCAGAAACGTCTGTGCCTAATGAGATTTGCCTTCTCTGTTGCCTCCTGTGTAACCGGCTGCTTTCCAGTAGGTCAATGGGTTGAAATGTTTTGCATTTCAATTTACTACGTTAGCTTTATCAACACTTTCTTTCTTTTCCAATCTAGAAATAAAAAATTATTGAAGGTGTGGACAAACTGTTATTTGCAAATGAAAAGATTTGGCAGAGTTTCTTTACAACTGCACCAACTCGGACTTGAGCTGGCAAAAGGGAAAATACATAAAAACTTTCAGATCTGTTGACAGGTAATTTAAGTGTACATTTCTAAACTGGGCATTTATCAATAGCAATATGAGACATTGTGAACATTTTATAAAGTTTCAATTCTGATTTATTTGTTTATGTCTATTTGCATCATGGCTGACCTTTACAAGCAATATGCCGAAAACCGATTAACCGTAGAGTCGTTTAAGACAAGATGACTCTCAACCAGCTACTTCCGGTTTCACCACAGCCCACCTGCATCCTCGTTTCGGAACTTGACCGAAATAAACATTTACGTTCAAATAAAATCTGAAAGTAAACTTTATCCACTTGGGTTGAGGTTGAAATCTCATAATGCCAAAAGTAAATGTTTTCCTCCTACCGGCCGGAACTAACAAACTCGAGACTCAAAATTATATCCGCTACAATTATTTTGTTTTTCACCCGTTAATTTATGCAAAAAGTACTGCAAAAACTTCATAATTTTAGTACGCACAGGGGGCGTTATTTTCAGTGACGTTACGTCGCTCCGGTGGGTGACGCAGCCCCTTTTCTCAGGAAAGTAAACATTCAACCAAGATGGCTCCGCAGTCAATTATTCGAATGGTACTTCTGGTGTCATTTTCCGTATTGCTCACCGTCGCGCTGGGTTTCGGACTACCAGCTCTCCTGAACGCGCTCATGAGGCTGCTGGGACTACCGGAAACGAGTGTAACGGAGTGCATCGTTGTGATATATTCGGCTTTCGTGCTGTATGTCGCTACACCTCGTATTCCTAGAGGCTCAGTGGAGGTAACGGCACAACGCCAAGTGTCCTGTTTCTGCGGGGAAACGGAATGTTTCCTGTTCCCGAATTCCTCCACAGGCTTAGTCGGGACTCAGGAATACCCAGATGTCTACTAAAATCCAAAATAGAGAATTCTAGAACTTAGAGCTTACAGAAAATCCTGTTTTAGGACAACAACTGAGGCTTTTTATTATACAACAGCATGCTACTTAGCTCAAACGCGTTGGAATCTCACCTTTTCCTGAATAATTTGTTGTCTGTGTTTAGGTGAAAGGAAAAGCTGTCCTAATTACAGGCTGTGACTGTGGCTTTGGGTTTGCTCTGGCTAAACATCTGCACTCGCTTGGCTTCACAGTCTTTGCAGGATGTCTGTTAAAGGTGAGCACACACTCCTATATGAATCACGGCTCATAGAACACCCAACAAAACCAAAATAACATGCTGCATTTGCCCTCAAAGTTGCTAAAAAAGATGCTTTTTAATCAACCTGAGTCCAATTCTGTGACTGAACCAGTTCCCGTGAATATATTCAGTTTTTATTTGTTTAATTGATCTCAAACATTTCCAGGACAAAGGCGGGGACGGCTCAAAGGAGCTTGAGGAGTTTCGTTGCAGTCGCATGAAGGTGGTTCAGCTGGACGTCTGCAGCGACGAGCAGGTGGGAAAGGCCGTAGAGTTCATCAGGGAAAACCTGAAGGACTCACAAAGAGGTAATCCGTTAAACTCGCAAGAATCCAGATTACAAGAAGATTGATTGAGCCATTCCCACATCTCTCTGATCCAGATCTGTGGGCGGTGGTGAACAACGCTGGTGTGTCGACCTTTGGAGAGGTGGAATTCACCTCTATGGAGACCTACAGACAGGTGTCAGAGGTCAACCTGTGGGGCACCATCAGGGTCACAAAAGCTGTTCTGCCCTTAATCCGTAGGGCAAAAGGTAAACCAGCAGGAAATGTAACTTATTAACATTCATGTCTAAAGTGCAAGAATCTAAGGAGGAAAAACACTAAAGATCTGTTTGTTTCAGTGTGTGTGTGTGTGTGTGTGTGTGCGCCCGTGTAGCCGAAAGTCCTCGCCCGCGCATAATCGGAGCACCGACCTAGCTATTGGCATCTTTCATGGAGCTCGTGATGGATTTTAGTGAAACTGTCAGAAAGATGTCGTTAGATCTGCAGCTGGTTAACTTTGAGTCAACTCCGGTCCAGAAAGGAGAAGTTCCCATTCACTCCTGTGTTAAAACACCAACAGCAGAAACAAACATGTTCACAGCCACACACGTTAGAGCCAACAGGTCTAGTTCATCGTCATGAGGGGGATGAAGTATTTTGTAATTAACTTGTTTAGGTGTAATTAAAGCTTTGAATAGTGAATACTTTGTGACGTGTCCTTTTGATTGGCAGATGAGCTGTCAGCGCTAGCTTCCTGTTTGCTCCAGAGATGGCGTCACGTTAAACGGGTAGCAGTCACTCATCTGTGGTTTTCTGGCTGAAAGCGCCTAACTCTGTTAGCTTCGGTTAGCTCGTAGCTACATCGGCTCTGCCCCCACACTCACAGCCCTGCTCTGAACCCCATTTTTGTTTTTTCTGGGAGTGGCACAGCCAAGATGGCGGTGATGGGAGCCGTCCACTGGGCTTCAGTTCAGCTCATCAAAAATCCACGAACCACGGCGTGGGGGTTCGTCCATCTTATAAGTGCAGTCAGCGGCTAAAGCACACACTCAGGTGCTAACGGATCACATAACAGAGTTCATTTAAAGTTTTTTTTTTTCCAGCGTAAAATCATCACAATGCTGACGGGGGCAGGTTTTGTGCAGCTCAGAACACTCGGTGTTCAACATAACACACGTGCGTGTTGTCCCTCTGCAGGTCGTGTCGTGAACCTGGCCAGCATGTACGGCAGGATGGGCAACCTAATGCGGTCCCCGTACTGCATCTCCAAATACGGCGTGGAAGCATTTTCCGACTGCCTTCGCTACGAGATGAAGACCTGGGGGGTGAAGGTGTCTGTGATCGAACCGGGGAACTTCATCGTGGCCACCGGCATCCTCACCCGTGACATCGTCGTGTCTACGGCCAACAAGCTGTGGAGCGAGGCTCCGGCGGAGGTGAAGGAGGACTACGGGAAGAGCCACTTCGAGCAGCGCATGGCTCTGATGCGCTCCTACTGCAACAGCGGGCAGAAGGATGTGGCGCCCGTCCTGGACGACATCACGGACGCCATTGTGTCCAAGCGTCCGCACACGCGCTACAGCCCCATGGAGCCCCACTGGTGGGTCAGGGTGCAGGTGATGACCCACCTGCCTGGCGCCTTATCCGACCTGCTCTACTTCTAGAGGAAAACATTCCTGGACTCTTTGGCTCAGTTAGCACGTTCTACGATGCCGATGTACAATCATTAACCTCACCTGGTTCTGATTTCCCTGCACTGGAGCCGTAATCTGTTTTCATCTTTAAGTAAACTGTTTTAGCTTGCTGTTCAAATATCTCTGGAAAAATATAGATATGCTTTTTTTTAAGTAGTGGTTACAGTTTTCCTGGCAAAGGTTTGTGTTTTTATTGGTGATGTTTTGCTTTAAGAGAACAGTTGGAAGCAGAAGACCTCCTGCAGACCCGGAACAAAGCCGAGGTCAGCTGCTTAAAGGGCCGCCGTGATATTTGGCCCAAACAAGCTCGCTTTAGTCCCTCAGGCTCCACGGAAACAGATTCAAGAGCGGCTTAAGGGTAATAAATCATGTCAGGTGTGTTTTTTTTTATATATTCAATTATGAAAATGTAGATTTATAGTTTTTAAAATACTAAAGCGATCGTCACATTTCTAAGCTGATTAAAAAGTGACTAAAAATGTTTTTGTACGTGCAGTTTCACAAACTGTCACCAGGGGGCAGACATACACAAGAAAGGGAAAGATCTACAAATAAAGACCTTTATGGGTTCTTTCCAACAGAAGGTTCTAGATTTTATCTATAAACAAACATTTTATGAATACAAAAACAGTTAAAGCACTAAAATCTAGATTTTCTGAAGTTAAAAAGCAAAGACAAATGCTTTTTATGCTTTTTATTACAGCTTTTCAACACTCTAAAACTTCTAAGTTATTACACCTGAAGACAATCTTCCCTCCAATAAAAACAGTATTAAGACAAATTTTTCACAGCACTGCCTTTGTTTCATTCCACAGCATGGATCTGTTTTTAGTCTCAAACAGAAAACAGAAAGCTCCGTAAGACAAAGCACCACAGAAATATAAGCAGCACATAAAAAGCACCAAAATCAAACCATGGGCCACTTCTCTGAATATTATCAAGACTTTCTCAGGCTTGTTCAGCAGACGGGGAGCCAGAGGTCCACCTGTACTGTAGTTTTCCATCAGGACCAATAATATTCTTTCACTGCAGACTTTATTTAAAACCGGTTCTGCACAAGGCTCTGCTCATGCAGCCTCGTTTTCCTCAGCATAAAAAAAGATCCCAGTAACAAAACGTATGCAGGGCGATGCTGTAGTTTTGTGTTTGAATATCAAGTTAAATATCTAAGGACTTTATTTATATATATTTAAGTGGCTAAACTGCACAAATGAAATCTTTACATAGACATAAAACCATGAAAAGGTTCCTCACAACCAACGTCGTGCAACTTTTACTTGAGGTGCTCGTACACAAGATCCAGGCCCTGATTAGATCACGACCTTGGGTTACATTTCTAAATGTACATGTAGGCGTCCACTGCTCATCCCAGAACACGATGAAGTCAGCTACGATAAGGTCACTTGAAAGGAAACGCAACAGAGGCTTCAAAGACGGGGCGGTTTGTGCACGGGCGTGACATCTTTTCAGAGTGATGGAGGCCTCGATCAGGAAATGCACTTTCCTACAAGGATGTGCTCACACCTGATCGCACACATGCAAAGCCTCCGCCAAAGCCGGTGATGAGAGAAGAGCGAAGCACGGAAAAAACATGGAAGCTTTGGTTGCCACAGAGAAGTGAAGGCACATTAAATTGAATATTTTAAAGTGAGGCAAGCTGAGGAAATATGGAGTTAAAATAAAAGAAAATGGTTGAAAGCTGATCATTACTCTGAGAGGTGGCGACACCACAGCAGGCAGGGACTGAAGGGTTAATAGGATCCTGGTAAACGGAAACAGGAACTAATGGTCTTGGCTAATAGAAATGCTAATTAATGACCTTTGAATAGCATTAATGGGATTTTCCACCCAGTTTGAAGCGTGCTTCTGTGCAATTAATGATAATTATGCTTAACTAGTTAGAGAGCTTCCTGAACAACCTCGACTGATTAGCTAAAAGCTAATTCTACTTAAAGGTGAGCACACAGGTGAGCTAGTGGGTTTATCTCTGCACGTAGAGATTAAACCCACTGATAATAGCTTTACACCCACTAGCAATAGCCCTAAAGGGCTGCATCTATACTCATAGAATCTAGGATTATAGTATGCAACTAAAGTTTTGAAGTCAGCCAAGACCGATTTGCAATACCTACTTTTCCCAGTCACTCGTCATTGATTAGTGCAGGTTTATGCTAGGAATCATCACTTTTAAAGCTTTTCAAACATTTTAAGGTTTGCATTCTGTTGAAACCAGCCCAGATCAGCATCAGCAGGTCAGAGCAGTATAAGAATCAGAAATGGGCATCGGCCCTTAAAAACCTAAAGCCGTGCATTTCTACTCCTGTTGCTTAGGAAGTGCTACATTTTGCTGCCAAGTTCAAAATAACAATCAATTAAGGTTTCATTAAATACATTGCATCAGTCGTTTTCAGATGGCAGGAATATGCCACAAGTCTTGGCTGCACTCACACTAGTTGGGTGTAAAAGCTATTTCACCAAACATAGGCTGTTCAGGAAACACTACAATTCATGTGAAACTAATTAGCTATAACCTTTACACATAAACACCCCTCAGAACAGCTAAAAGATCCCTTTAACACACGACTATTTAATCAATTTCCCTCTAGGATTAATAACGTATTTTTGAACTGAATTGACTGAAACTATTCCACAGTTTAATCTACATGTTGGTGCTTTAGGAACAGATTTGTAGATTTTTGGGAGTTGGAGAAAATAATGTTAAAAGTGCAGCAATAATAACCTCGCCCCAACCAAACTCTTCCATACATCAGCCTGTCTGTGGAGAACCGACTAGGCGTGGCCTTCCAGATTATCGCATACAGTGGAACATGCTCTCAAAGTCCCCCTTTCCTTTCCTCCTCTTTCACATCCCTCTTCCTCTTTCTTTTCGTGTGTGTGTGTGTGTGTGTGTGTGTGTGTGTGTGCGCGCGTCTACGGCCAGCCCACAGCTGGAAAAGTCATCACTGCAGGAATCGTGATCATCCTCCTCCTCCTCGTGCTGCTCGAGTGGCTCCCTGCCAACCCTGCAGCAGCTCTGGTCGCTGCCCTTCACCGCCCGGTCAGAAACCCTCTCTCTCCAGGCTCTTACTGTAAACATGTGCAGCTGAAAACATGGACGTGCTCTGTATTGTTTGTGCTCGTGAAGTGAACCTCTAAGGCATTTTACATTCGATGCCCGAATATCAGACAAAGCCATCTCAGACTGCTCGTAATAAGGGATTGTTTAGTGTGCCGGCTTAAGGAAGAGGGCGTCACTCAGATGATGTATAACTCGACCCACTAGTGACCCTCGCCTCCTCCGTTCCCTCTAGCAATCACCAACTCAGGAGTGGTGACATCATGTACCGGACTGCTTGGGCTGAACTTCACTTCCCCTGGCTCTTTTATTTTCCCGCTCTTACTCGGATCGTCCTTCATCCCAAAACCCGCTCCTTGTGTCTCGAGCCTCAGCTTTGAAACATTCACATGAGACAGCAATGTGTGCAACAAGCCGGCTGTTCTAGTTCGACTTCACACAAGATGGAGAAAATAAAAATAAAAAGCACGAGACGGTTGTGAGCAGAAATGAGAATTAATATTAATTGGTCACTTTGTTTTGTTTTGATTAGCAAAAGTTTGAAACACAGACGTGAGCTGAAACCTAGAATGGTGGGCATGAACGTGCTGTAGACACCTCCGTCGTGTGTGTGTGGTGTGATTAGAGAAAAAAAATCACATTTTACAAAAAACAAAAAAAGATTATATATTATCAACAGAAAGAAATCTAAATGAAACTAATAGATATCATCGTGAAATACATGACCTAATGTGGATAATTTAAAATGTGACCAAGAGGTCTGTAGTCGCACTCTCGGGGGTCCATTGTCCTTCAGCCCCCTCCTTCATGTCTCTCCCAAACCTCCTCTTGGAATGCTCACAAGGTGTCCGTTAAAGTCCTGATGATGCTTCAGGCTTGGAGCTGAAATGTTAGTGTGGCGTAATAAGTATCTGTTATAAATGGAAGCCGTCGACGTGGAAGTGTGTGTGCAGGTGTGTGTGTGTAGGGGGGAGTCGGATCAGGAGGCGGCCAGGGCCTTGATCAGGTAGAGTTTGTCTCCCTGCTCGCTGGTAAAGATGGGAGCTTTTTTGTAGTGTTCCACAAGCTCTTCCATAGAGTTGAATTTGCGCTGTCCGATGCAGTAAAGGTCTTCCTTCAGCTGCACCTTGAAATGCTTGTTCTTGCTCTGCGCCTTCAGGGAGATGGAGAAGTCGTTTGGCTGTGGAGGAGGAGGAAATAGTCACGGTTAGTGCTGCGGGCCTTCATCCCGCCCAGATTTTAGAATATTGCTCACTTCTGGAGACTAAACTCACGAGCATCTTGTGAGGTTTTATTAAGTCAGGTGGCAGAACAAAAGGAAAACACACAGGTGACATGCTTCACCTGCTCTGAGGGAAGGAGTAAAGTGAATTTTTCCTTTCTGGTAAATCTCCAAGCTTCCTAAAGCTAAAATTGTAATTTTTGCAAACTTACTCCCAGTTTGAACAGCTTATGCTTCCATAGCTCTTCTCCGCTTTTGGAGCAGCACTGTATGTTTTGAGTGTGTGAGTGGCTCAGATTACCACGTCTACCTTGTGATTTCGAGAAGAGTTTAGCTGAGTAACCATTATGACCGGGTGAGGTACCGGCTTTCGTTACTTACTGATGACTCGCTGTCTCGGATGAGGAAGTCTCCCTCGGTGCCTCGCTGATTTAGGGCCACCTCCGCCTGATGGCGAGTCACCTTTCCGTAGTACCACTCTTTCCCCGCAAAGCGCCCGCTTCCTGAAGGTGAGATGTAGTCGCAGTCGGGTGTTGGAGGCCCGGCCAGTGCTGCTGTGGACTTCTGGGAGCCAGAGTCCAGCACCGTGACGTAGTTCTTAGGCACCAAGCCTAGCTGTCCGTCCATTTTGCAGCACTTCCACCACTCCGGGTCGTTCTCGGGCTTCTCTACCACCTCCATCACATCGCCCCTCTCAAAGTTCAGTTCCTCGTCGTTGCTAGAGCTGAAAGGGTAAAGCGCCTGCACCGTGTGCAGCACCCGATTTCCGTTGGCCGTGCTGCTCACCACAGCGGCTAGCTTCTCCGTCAGCGATCCGGCCAGGTCTCCGAGCCCGCCCCCTCCCCCCGCCGTCCCATCCACGTCCTCCGTCACATAGTTGGAAGGGAACCAACCAGAGCGTCCGTTGTAGCTGCCGCGCCACCAGCCGTCGCTGCACTTCTCCATCACCACCACCCGCGTGCCCTTCACCAGCGTTAGCTCGTCCTCGCGCTCTGCTGTGTAGCTGAACTTGACCAGAGCAGGTAGGTTAAGGTCATACAGCCTTTCGCCGTTATCTGTGCTCATGTCTGTTTCTACGTTGGAGGCGGCGTCCCTCATTCCTCCCTTTCTGCTCTTCACCTTTCCAATTCCTGCAAAAAAAAAAGGAGAGATCAGGAAGTTAAGGTTTGCAGACGGATCACTGCTAACATGATATCCTGAACAAGGTGGAACAAATAGATTTTAGGGTAAATTAAAAGTCATTAGTTTAAGTTTCAATACAAAAAGCCACATTTGTTGATTGTTTTTGAATGAAAGTACCACAGAGTAATAATTAGGGTAAAGACTAGAGCTATGCTAAAATCCAAAGAGGGACTAAAGACCTCAGTGTTTAACCCCCCCCCCCCCACACACACACACACACTTCAAATCCAAATACATTCTTGGGGATTAGGCCTAGATGCTGAGGAAACCAAAAGGCTGTGCTGGCACTGAGAAATAAAGACGGAGTGGGTTGAAAGCTTGTTTTGACATGGACCAACAAATCCAGAGAAAACAAAACAAAAAAAAAGTTGCGTGGTTCTCTTTGTGTGCTTTAAGCCAGCAGTAAAAACAGTTCCTCTGAAGAAAAAAGCTTCAGTCACATTTGGCTGTTGCTAATTTCACCGCGCTAATCGCCCTGGCTGCTCCCCCGGCACCTGAGGCTCTGTCTGCGCCGCGGCCTGGTTTCAGACACCCCTGGGCTGCTGCCAAAGCTGTACACGGTTCATTCTCCTGCTGACTCCAACACTGACCTCCCACTTTAGCTCCTAAACCTCAAGCACCACACTAAGATGAGCATTTGGCTTCAGGAGAACACGGAGAGGGCAAAAACTCATCATTTCTAATCTCCAATCTTAATTCGGTTTCCAAGCAACCACAAAGCTTTAGATCAACAGTAATGTCTTCATCAGCCACCATGACATTGTCTGAGGCCTTAATGAACGGACTCAACCCAACGCTTGTTCCGGGCGGCGCTGCCCTAAAGCCAAGCTCTTGTGGTCGACCGAACGAGAATCCCTACTCGGTATGCTGTTAGCTGGTTGAAACATGTAGCTAGCAGAAAATGAAAGATCACTTGGTTCCACTTTTTTCAGAGGCCTTAAAAGCAGCTCAGTCTAGATGTAATCACTACAGCGTACAGTCTCAGCGATGGCGTAAAAAGATGAAAAGATTCAAGCTAACCAGACACAGTGAACAGATTTAAACCGAGACCCTATTTTTGATTACGTTTGCAAGGCCATTGCTTGCACAATCAAAAGACAGCTGGGTGAAATTATACAGCGAGGCAGGGTGGAGCGCTGGGAGGACGCTCGTGTGTCTATCTGAGCCTCGCCACAGATAGACTGTTACTGAAAGGTGCCTCTGACTCAAGGAGAGCAGACAAATTTCACGGTAGAGCTCGGAGTCCGACGTCAAATTGCTTCCAGGTAGACCCTGTTATTAGTCACACCACGGTGCTTAACTACAGACTCCAGACAGGGTGTTAAGAGCTGATGTCTGTAGGCGGAGGTTAGGGATTGCACACATGCTAGTTATGCATCTTCACAGATGCACCAACTGCATGACACAGATGTGGGTTTAAAACGTTCAGTGATGGTCAGGTCTCCATCCACCTGTTTTATCTCTCTGTGTAGGTAAAACTCTTATCAGTGAGCCTTCAGACACTGCTTTGGCTACATGAATGCTTTGCATTAAAAAAAAAAAAAAGCAGTGCCACATTTGACTAGATTTGTGACGAGGTAAGATTTGCCTGTACAGCTACGGGGAGATGGTGAGCAGATGTGGACAGCTACTTCTCTGAAGGCCGTCGTGGGCAAATCAGGAGTCGGTTGCTTGAGTTGGAGCTTCTTTTTACAGTTTGGGATCTTTTTCACATCAAAAGCAGAATAGAAATGCCATTCCAGAGGAGCACACGCGTGTGTGTGTGTGTGTGTTAACAAATGATTTTACAACATTCATGGGGAGAGTCTGAACATTTTAGTACAAAAAATGTTTTATTAGATTAAAAACTTACAAATAATGGGAAAACAGTTAGACAGGTGCTGCATTAAACGCAGCAATGGCACAGTTTGCATCCTGCACCTGATGACATTCCAACACTGGCGACCAGGTGAACTTTGCTCTAGAAGGACACATGAGGTGTGGTGCTTTCAGCTTACCCTAAAAACCACAAGCATGGCTGCTGCAAGCAGATAAACGCTGACGGCAGAAATGACCAAATGCCGCTCTGTGGAAACTTCTCTCGTAAAACGTCACGCTTTTCCCTGCGTATTTCCTGAGAGATGGACACGTGGGAGGGAAATGATACGATGGGGGTAAATTACTGCCGACAATGACGAGGAGCATGTGTGAAACTCCTTTTCTTGTTTATGGATGATGTGCAACAACATGAGAAGAAGAAAGTCAGGGATTTGTTTTTAACTCCGGCCTGCCTACGCTAGCTGGCTGTTCATTGTCTGTCAGGACCCTTCCGACCCCACGGCTTCCCTCCATTCCACGGCTCTTCCTTTGTGGAGGACAACACCCCGCGTCAGCCTGTCTGACCGAGCCTTAACATCCCTTTTGCTTTGACACAGGCATTTTTCCTTGCCAGTACAAAACGGCCGACCAGCTATTCTGAAATCAGTTGCCGCCACAACCTACACTGCAACAGTTTGCTGCAATCCTCGTGTGGCAACACTCATCTTCTGGTTTCTCGGGAAGCTGTGCATGTCGATAAACCAGTCGAGACTCATGACGGACAACAGAAACAGCAGCCCGGGGTCAGATTGTTTAGTGTGGGACGTACACATTAAATGAAATGACAGCATGTTCAGCCTAAGACACTGTGGCTCAATCAAAGGAGAGGCAACACACACACACACACACACACACACACACACACACACACACACACACACACACACACACACACACACACACACACACACACACACACACGAGGAGTGAGTTGGCGTATTCGTGGTTGGGGCTGCCTCTAAAGACCACAGCTTCCATCCAGCAGTAAACATGGCTGACAGAAACACAGGAAACGAGCCGCTCTTTCAACTCCAGTTGGCTGAGACCTCAAACGCAGGCAGCCATCGATGTCGGTGATGGATCAGACTCCCGGAGAGGCTTGTAAGGCCTTTCGTTCACTTTGGTTCTGAACGGAGCAGACGAACGTTCAGAGGCAGCAGAAGGCTTAAGGCAGATGTCTCACCTGTTAGAGCGAACACGACAATTTAAACACGGCTGCCAACTGTCACCCATCGAGCGTCTCACAAACACACACACACACACACACACACACACACACACACACACACACACACACACACACACACACACACACACACACACACACACTTGACTGTCTTCACACTCCACACCTCCTAAAGTGCTCTGCATCGACTCTTTTATCTCTCTGTCTGAGATGTGACCTTCAGAGGTCATGACCAAGATGTGGGTTTGTGGCTGTAGAGGTGGAAGAAAGTTCATCATCATCGAACCATTTCAGGTTTTCCTCATTTCATGCATCCCTGGTTTTAGAGGGGCCATAATTAAAGAACACAGTAAACAGACAGCCATTGATTTCCAATGAACAGCCATATAAAATTTAAAGGTGTCTCTAGTAGGAATGGATGCCTCATAAGTCGTTCCCACAGGAAACAAATACACCAGTGCACCAAATCCAGAAACTAGAAGTGAGCCACATCACCGCTGAGCTTCAGACGGCAGGTTTTGGGTCTTACTTCCTGATATTTGGACATCTCGCTGCAGATTAGATAACAGCAACGCGACTCCTACTGACCCCAGCCTGGAGGATTTTCTGCTGTGTGGCTGAGTTGCTAATGCTAACAGTTAGCTTCCAGTGGTCGAGACACTCTCTGCTGATTCCTGGACGCTGAACAAACAACAGCCTTGCCCCTCTAAGTCAAGATGGGTGAGTCCATGAATGTAAAGACCGTGTGACGCAGATCTGTCAGGCTTTTCTAATCATTGAGCTTCACCGTCTATTTTCTACCAGAAGCTAATGCAGGAGACCATTTTCAAGGTTCAGCCTGCATGAAAAACCCCAAGTGACAGATTATAATCTGGAATATTCATGTTAAAATCGTTTCAGTGATCCAAGCTTTTAGAATGTTTGTATTCTCAATGAACGTAAACCGATTCAATCTGGTTAAATGAATAACAGTCTTGGACGGTTGCTCATCAGGTTAACAGGCAGACACGTATTATATGGAAGCCTATACTCTTCTTTAACAGCATGTTTACAGCTCTGGCTACCGTTCAACAAGCCCAGACCACTACTCACTTCCTCTGATGGAGACAGGAAAACAAACCGTAGACGACAACTTTACAGCAGAAACGTTTTAGACTAAAGTGACAACCTTCAATTTCCCTCTGGGATTAATAAAGTATTTTATAATTGAATTGAGTTGCTGCGGGCGTCCGACTGTAACCATGCAGTTTGAGTTGCTTTAGTCACACGGGTCCGAGTGGACAGGAGAGGAATAAGCAGGAGGGAGTGAATGAGATAAGCAGCCACAAAGTCCAACAGACAACCCGTTAAGCCATGATTCAAACTTCCTTTTAAACTTCACACTTCCTCTCTGGCTTGTACTTCTCCCTGGCTCGGAGAGAAATGTGGCTCAAATTAGAGTTTCCGCTCGCTGGGGAGGCTGAGAAACAGGAAAAACGGAGGGAGGGGATACGAGAGAGAAAGACAGAGGAACCAGCCGCTCTTCGTTTACACAAGCCAAATGTTTGTTAGCTCCTCTCCATCTTCTTCACTTCCCTTCTGAGGGTGAGCGAGCCGGTCCGGGGCCAGCAGCCAGGAGATAGCACTCAGCGGCTACAAGGTGAGATTACAGCGAGGAGTGTGAGAGAGTGTGTCAGTGTGACGGAGAAGTATCCAGTAAAGACATTCCTCTGATAACCAGAAGAGCTGCAGATGATACAAACCCAGGCCCCATCAATCATCTGGAACCCCGCGTCCTCCTGCTAGCACAATGACTACAGTGTCCCACATGAGAACCCTTCAGCTGTAGCTCATGACCGGTGGCGGGGTGTGTGTGATGTGTGAGAGAGGGGGGAGACCCTCTGAGAAACCGTGAGCCTGCCTTGAGGGTAGCATAAAAGAAAACAGCCACACGTCTTCAGATATGCCTGAAAAGAGAAGTTGGTTCCTCAAACGGGACGGTGTGGGATTAAAAAAGGAAGATAAAAGCTGGAAAACAAGAGAAAATCGTCAGATTTCAGTGTGTGATTAAAAGAGAAGAGTTCAGAGGCAATTACAGGCTTGGGCTCAGCAGAAGGCTTTTCCACCCAGCCGCTCTGTTCAGACACCCTCGTTAGTCTAAACACACAGCTGTCCCCCTCTGCTCAGATTTGGACACTTTCCTTTGATTAACTAGAGGCTGCAATTAATTTTTAACCAAAGTCTGAAAGAAAGAAAAAGTTGAGAGAACAGCTCAAAGTTCAGAGAGGAGACTTTCAGAGGGTTGGAAATCAACAAGAGAGTCAAAAAAGCTTCAACAAGCAAAGAAAAGGTAAAAACTCACGAAAGAAATGTTTGATTAGGTTAGCCATGTCCATGTTGGGCTGGCCGTCGCTCCCCCTCTCCTCTCTTTCACAGCCCCTGCTCTCTTCCCACTGCAGCTGTGGAGCTATTCCATGTGAACACCCAAAGAGCTGGGCGGGCCACGAAGAGGAACCGCCCCCTTTGACCATGTGGACAGGGGTTAGCCAATAAGGGCGCGGGATAAAGAGGCCTCCAGTCCAGCTCTGGAGGACTACAGTGGCCTCATGGAGAGGAGAAGGAGGAGGAGGGGGAGTCGAGGCTTAGAGAAAGAAAGGACAGAAATGAGAGTGGTGGGATTTTAAAAAGGAAAAACACACTTTTAAACTAATAATTACTGAATGTACAAGGAGAATGAGCCCAAAGACGCTGAATCATTTGGTTGTGTGTGGACGCAGCAGCGACAGTGACTCAGTGGGTGCTTGGTGTCACATAACAGCTGTTTGTAGAGACGCTCATAACTTTATAACAAACCCAGGAAACATGAGAGTCCTCAAACTCAGAAACGCTCACGCCAAACCCTCAGGCTAAGACATCCCTTCACAACCAACAAACACAGCAGTACATCATCTTTTCCTCCTACACACACACTCGAGTGTGATCTCACACACTTCCAAGACTGTCTGAGGTTCCAAACCAGGGACGGATGTTACAAACACAAAATCTAATCGTAATCATAAATAATGACTATTTTGCTTCCAGAATGTTCTTTAAAATTAACCATATTTTTATATCTGAAGCTGTGGTTCCCACAGCTGGGGTCGGGACCCCACTTTGGGTCAGAAAACAACAAGTGATGGTCACCAGATGAACTCCAGAAATTACATGAGATTTTAAAACTCAGACCATTTTGTACCATAACAAAAAAATAGTCATAAAATATTCAAATAATGCCGTCTTTGCTGTTGCCGTTTGTGTCGTCATTAAGCATCTGTTTAATAAAGTTAGCAGCTAAATTTGTAGCAGTGACAGTAACAGTGGAGGGCTAAAATCTCAGGTTGAAATGTTTGTAACCACTAAGCTAAAGGCTAGTCTGAGCACAACTAAAGTGTAAAATAGCTTTAGCATTTTGGCTAATACCATCAAATATGAGTGTAGGAGCCAGGGAGGGTCCATGTTGATCTAAATGTGTCTTAAAACATAAAAAATATATCAGTTTCCTGCTATAACTTGATGTTGATTGAACATACGGACACAGCAAAAACAAATGAGTAATTAGCATAGCCTCAGTTTCTAGTAGCATATGTTGCTAATTGATGATCAAAAAGGTTTATAAAACAGTAAATAAATGTTTTGGATTAGAGTCGTTTTAAAACTGCAGCGTCACATGTTGGTCTTTGTTAGGTTTAAACTAGCCATTAGCTCATCAATCCTAAAGATGTAAACTGTCAGAGGCTGTTCAGGAAGCTACCAACTGTTCTTCCACTTGTGAAAAGCCAAACTTTCCTTTCATGACGAATTTGTATGCTACTGTTTTATTAAATATCGTGTGTGTGTGTTTTTGCCTGGCGCCGGTATTCAGCACGACTCGCCCCAGGGCAGCTGTGGCTACATCGTAGCTCATCCCCACCAGGGTGTGAATGTGTGTGTGAATGGGTGAATGACTGTGTTGTGAAGCGCCTTGGGGAGTTGCAGAACCTAAGAAGGCGCTACACAAATACAGACCATTTTACCATTAGCACTGACTTGTTTTATTTAGAGCGTGCATCAAGTAAAACGTGTGTTTGTGTTAGGCAGCAACAGCGTGATGAATGGATGCAGACACACTTCTGGATCTGGTTCAACACAACCTCCCACACACACAAATACACATGACGCATAATTAGTCAAGGAAACCTGCACACCTCAGGGCACAGCGAGTTATACAAACTTCAAGTGCAGCAGTTCCTAACTGGTTCAAGCTGCAACAAACAGGAAAAGCCTCAGTAAAGGCACTGAGCTGCAACTACGAGAGAAAGTTCATCCTGTTCTCGTGCGCAGAAACTGCTTTAGTACTGAGCTCCTAAATGTGCACAAAAATATGAAAGGAAATGGGACGATGTAGTTCACATGTCCTGTGTGCAGCCAGATCTGCAGTACTTGTTATTAATATGAACCATGAGGATCTAGAGCAGCCACACTTTGACATTTTTAGGCATCTCATAAGAAGTGATAAAAACACAGTAAGGTGGTATTTAATGCCACAACAACATGAAGCCCTGCATTCTGCAGAGGGAGGTCCAACACTGAATTTATCCATAAACTGAGTTAAATGCTCCAGGCGGAGAAACGTTCGGGTGTTCAGTTTTCTAAACCATCAGTTCAGTTTATTTAGCCAGCTAAAGCAGCTTTTGTTTTGAATTTGTTTTAGTTTTGTTGATTTTCTTCTGCTAAATGTCCTTGCAGCACTTCTGTTGCAATTCCCTGGCTGGGACTCAGAAGTCCCAGTGCTCACCTCACATGGACTCAGCTTCAGCGGGCTACATAAACAAAGTACAAAAATAAAAAAACGTTTAACAGTTTACCAATGAAGGGTTGAAAACATAAAACTGGAAAGAAGAAAACAGATTACTGCTGACGCGAAGAATCAAACCGGGAAAAGGAAAGGTTTGTTAAATTTAAAAGAGGCACATGCAATGACAACTTTATTGTCATTGCCCCAGCGTCCAGAAGCATGCGAACAGCATGCACGAACCCACCAAATCTTTACAAAAGGATGGCTGCTTACAGTAACAATGTGTAGTTTTAACCATTCATCTCTGGGAATATTCATCACAAAGTTTTTGTAATTGATTGAAATGATGCCCAGTTGTTGAAAAATGTTGGCGGTTTCATTACATATAACTATAAAAATCTGGTCTACAAGACACGGGTGCGGGTCTAATGGTGCTTACACAGGTCGGCACGGGCCCATACGGTACTGGACGGCACTGGAATTTGGTTTCACACACAGGTCCCATTTGCATTTTCGGTGCCGAGGCGACTCCTTTTCTCGGACCTACTCCCCAGCGGTCAGAGTGGAAGCGAGGCGACACTACGGACTGATTGGCTGGCTTAAATAAAGCCTACCGCCTTCGATCTGCAAGAAGAACGAGCCAGCGGGGGGTTCCCGCGTGCGCGGCTCATTTTCATACTGGATGCTGTTGAGTAAACTTCTGTCTGTAGCACGGAGCTGCCGATCCGGAGCTGCCATTAAGTGTGGGAACGGGAGAAAAGAAAGGGGAGAAATCAGTGTGTGTGTGTGTGTGTGTGTGGCACAAGATTATGAGGACACACACAGCTAATTAATAAAATAATGTGGTTCAAAGTCTTCAAAAGCAACGCAGCTCATGTCCGTCTTTTGTTTACCTATGGAGCGGACTTTCCTGCGCATATTAAGCGCCGCCCACAGGCTCGGGGATTTCAGCATTCTTGAGAAGTCCCTGGGATTTATTTGTGAAGACTACACCGCCCGTACCAGCCCAAACTCACGCCATCCAGCCCGACCAAACCCCGACCGTGCCGACGCTAACGTGTAAGCGCCATAAGTCTCTGGGCGACGTCATATTGGATGCCATGTTTTCTTCTATGGAAGCCCGTGAGGACAAAATGCATTTACTGATTTGTAACAAATGGTTACAAAACTTTCCCCATTCATAAACATTTTAGAGCTTCAATCGTTGCCAGTGATGAAAGGGGATCTGATGTTCTTGTTGTTTTGCTGGAGGATGTGCTCCCAGCCATTTCTGACCCTAATGGGCATCTGTTGGTGAGGGCTTACTTGAACAAAAAAGTAATGCTTGCTTGCAATCATTTAGGTAAGTACTGCCCTCTATCACCAGGGAAAACACACACCGTCACTTTAAGACACGTCCTGTGCTGGCCATTACTTCAAGTCTTTACAGAACACAAGATTTTTTACAGGCAGCATTTGTCCCGAACGCAACCTCCTGACGTGATGTGACGATCATCTTAATGAGATGGGCCACAAAATAAAATTGCGCCTAAGTCACTCATGTGGCTAGCACCGGGCCGGGTGCGAGTGCATCAGGAAGCCATCAACCACAGAGCCCGGAAACCTTGTGCTGCGCGAGGAGGAAGTCCTACTTTAAGCCTAATAAAGTCATGCTTACTTAAAACAAACGCCACCTGTAAGAGATTGCATGGAAGTTTAGCCTGAGACAAAGATTTAATATTCAATTATTTGTCTTTAAATAGGTGACTAATCTCTAAACAACAATAATGTATATAATAATAACAGGTGGGCTAGTAGATGTGTGTGGCAGGAGAGTGTTACACCCCCCCCCCCACTGTGTGTAAAACACGCCAAACTCAAAGCGGTGACATCAGAGGCAGACCTGATGCCAGACTATCTGAATGTGCTCCAGACTGGATGTCAGTGGTTAAAGTGAGTTTCACAAATTACAATGAAAATCTGTCATCGACGAGAGTTAAGCAAAGACAAACGGTAACCCTGGCTTGTGTGAAGACACTTGGCTGGGCGAGGCTTTTGGCAGACCCGAAAGAAAAGATGAAACCTCTTGAATTGTTTTACAAGCGCTACAGTCGCGTGTCGTCGCAGATGCTTAGAACATCTGAAAGGCTTCCTTACCTGTGCTGAACTGATGAATCTAAAAACTCAAACCCTCACATCAGAGAGGAGCAGCACAGATAGGAGAGTTTCAGTCTGAGAGCAAGAAAGTAGCCGTTTGGTTTTCAGCCAATCAGGTAACAGAGTGGTGACGTGTACTGTGGTTACTGCCACGTGTGTACAGGTGGCTGTTATGCGGTCAAAATCAGACAGCGCTGCTCCAGATGACACATAAAAGAAATGCTTCTGAAATAAAGTCAAACAGACGTACCCCACCGAAGCTGTAGAAGTATTTAGTTGTCTGAAATATGACATCAGCCGTTAAAAAAAACAAGGAGTGTTTTTGTTTTTACCGAGCGTGTCTTTCAGGTTCTTGACTATAGAGGCTTTCCTTGCGCTGTTTTTCCTCTCCACGTAGTTGGACGGTACAAAACCCGTTTTGTTGGTGGCGTTGCGGACTCTCCACCAGGACTTGGAGTCGTCCAGCAGCCAGAGGCGCTCATTCTTCTTGATGTCCAGCTCCTGCTCCTGCTGGGCCATGTAGTCAAACTTGGCGATGACAATCACCTCGTCCGTCATCTTGCACTAAATAAACTGATGAAGAGAAGGGAGGCGTTAGAGAAACCGCTCTTATGTGGAGCAGAAGGTGCAACTGCTTTATTTGCTCCAGAAACAAACAGATGAGAGTACATTTAGAAACAACCTGGAGACGAGGAGCCGTACCTGCTCTGCATCAAAGCTGAAAACGTTGCAGGCTCTGATGCTTCTGTTGACCTAGAACACCAGAAGCGACAAGAACATTACAAACCGGCTCAAAGATCTCCTGATTATACTCAGAAGTTATCGTATCCATCTGTTTTAACTCAGCTGCTGTCACTGAAGGGGTAGACAGAATTATCCAAACTCCGTCTGAATCCTGCAGACATCTCCAGTTTACTTTCGTCGGACAGAATTTCCCTCCACCAATTGTGTCGCTGAAATAACGGATAAACTGCTTTTCCCTTCACTCTTCCACACCAACTGCTGTCATAATTCCTTGGAATTCACACATGGGATGATTTCATTTGACAGCGGTCCAATGATTGTCTTGTGTGTTGAAACAAAAGCCAAGAGGATGGCAATGATTACAGTAATGGGTGGGAGTGAACTTAGAGCCAGGGAGGCGGCAGCATCCACTGGAAACCTGCAAAGCCTTCAATGGGATTCTGGATGTTTCTAATTTAAAGTTATTAAAACACATTTTATCTTATTAGCTTATTGAACAGCCTTAATTTGGAGAAATAGGGTTATTGTTGAGTAAGATGGATCTACTAATGCCTAGACCAGGGGTCTACATAATAATGGCTGTAGTTGCACCACCAAAATAAAAAAATGAAAAAAAAAAGAACAAATCTACAAAACATGAATAAGAATCTGAATAAATCACTATAATCACTTAAGAAATGCAAAGAAAACATGTAATCTGCACATTTTCATATAATTCTAACTTTTACTTTTAAAAGACGTTGACAATACTTTAAATAATGTAGGCCACGCTGTTAAATTTAGCTCTTCCCTACAAATGTTCCTCATGCATGCAGCTGAGCTCTGAACATGCCCCGAGCGTTTAAATCTATTACTGTGGAAGTTTATTTACTATAAACAATGAACACATTCACAACAACTAGTCTTGTGACTCATCAGCCACCAACACAGCAGAAGCTAGGCATCACTTAGCTTAGCTTAGCGCTGCAGAGCCTTCAGGTCAGCACTGAGGTGGTTGCTTAGCTGCTCTGATGTCATGGGAGAGGATGAAGTTTCACCTCCCCCCCCCCCCCCCCCCCCCCCCCCCCCCAACAGACTTCAGGGAGCAGACACTGACTTCATTGATAGAGAGCTCTTGGTTTTTATTTGGAGCAGCAGCAGTGTCTGGGTTTCAGTCACAGCTGGCCTTGAGATGGGAGCAGAACCTGATCTTGGGCAGACATGAGCAGACTAGCACCAAGCTAGCTTTCAGCATGACTGACCAAGGCCAAGAGGAACTTCAAAGATTTAAATGTGATTTTCTAACCAGTGCCACAAATAAAGGAAGCACAGAGAGCTTTGGCTGCTGTAAAGACTTAAGAAACATCCGCTGAACTCCTCTCATTAAATCAAACAAACAAGCGGGGTGGGGGGGGGGGGTGGGGGGGGGGGGGGTGGGGCTTAATGTACCAAATAACATTTGGGTGTACACTGTGGTTTAATCTTATGGCATGCTATTGCCTGCTTCTTTTCCATCAATAACAACATTAGTGAAGACTTGAGACGTGCGAGGGAGCGGCGCACAAAAACAAAGAGCTGATTTACTCTCCTCCAGTGTCTCGTTCACTCAAGACAAAAGCAAACGATCCCTCCACTCCCCGAGCTGGACTAAAACGCCGCCTGCCAAGGAGGCTGATGAGAGTACATGTGCCTCATCTCAATTTACAACATCCCTCCCTTACTGCAGGTTTTCCACTTAACACTCTTCCAACTATTTTAGGTTGGAATCATTTTTGTAGGGGGTTTCCTTTCCTGGCAATCTCTCTTTCTTCAGCCTGATTTCTACACCTTAATCACGTTTTTTGCCTGTCACCACTTATCTGTATCTGAAGATGGCTGAACACAAACACCACATTAAAGCCACAATGACTTACGACAGTGGAGATGTGAGAGAGGATCCCAACTTTTGGTGACAGATGCTCTGAGCTAATCACACAGCTGCAGACTGAGCCATGGCCGAAGAATAAATACCAGGACAGACGGGTCAAATGGTTCAATTTACACATGAACTATGAATCACTATCTACCAGTCAAGAGTTAACAGGTTGGTCAAATCCCTCCAAAACCAGCAGGATGTCATCCTTACTGCTTTTGCAACCGTTTGTTTTGATTTCTGACACATAGTTATCTTCCTCTTTAGGTAAACAAACCATGCAAACATTTAAAGGCTGCAGAAAACATAAAAGAATCATCACCAATGCAAAATGAATAAGTGCAATATTATTACTGTGAATGAATTACTTGAGTGCAATATGTTATAATTTAAGAAGAAAGAGATGCCACAAACAGTCTTCAGCATTAATGTTTTAATCCTTTAAAGATGTTTTCCTTCATCCAGACCAGTTGGGCTCCAGAGTCAGTCACAGCCGTTTAAATTAATTATTTAGATTTTCAACAAATACATAAATATATTTATTCATTCATGTGTTGCATTGTTGCAAAAGTATATTTACCGTTGATTATGAAATTATAATCGTGCATCTAAAAGCCTCTGAGCAAAACAAAACAGACTGCTGAACCACCTAAACACTAGAGGTACATTTAAGATTACGTGGTGCTGCGGCGGCTAAAGAACAACGACAATGGAGCAGCTGGGTGTCAGCTTCTGTTAAAAGCACCACTAAGGATGCTGAACTTTGTAAATGTTGAATTATCGGAGTATCGCTTTGCTTCTGCTGTCAAAATCTGTTAATTAACTGGAAAATTTTAAATATCAGACTAAAACATTAAGTAACATCGGTACGTTTGTTAACAATTGAGCTCCAAAAGCTAACAAAGTTACATCAAATCATGTTTTGACATTTTTAAATGTCTAATCAACCCTGGGTAGTTATGTCCTTCTGAGATTTTCCATTAGAGCATGTGTAACGACTAACATTTAGCCTCTTGTTTGACTGTTAACCAATAACCCACATGTGCATGCTGATGGTGTAAAGGAGATGCACAGTGCAGCTCTACAGTTACTATAAAATAGCAGCGACATGACTTCACCACATCCTGCTGTCTACAGCTGCTAGATAGGAACAAGAACAGGTCTGGTGAAAGAGCACACCTAGTGGTGGGTGAGGGGATTTAACTCGACTAGGATGCTGGTGGGCGTTTGCCACAGATGCAGAAATGATCTGATATCAGACAGAGACAGGCTGAAAAATAATTTCTCCACACGGTGGGAATAAATGGTGTCCCGCAGGAATGCTGAGGCACTGAGACGGCAGCAGCATGAGCTCACAGAGGCGGACAGAGTAACCTAATCCCTGTGACAGCCTGCTAAAATCACAGGGCTCTGCTGCCTTCTGGAATGTGCTCTGTGTTCTAGCTGCTAACTCAGCCCCTCTGACACTGCAGCACTTCCTCCTACTTCCACTAAAATTGGTGTTTTTAGCCACAAGGAATCGGCACGCATGTCCGAAGAGAACCGGAGAGCGTGTGTTCCCTTCCACATGGAGGCATGTCAGCTGGGAGCCCCGTGAGACAGGAGTCTCATCCCTGCTGTCCGAGATTCTCTCAAAACAAAACCGCAGCGCTGCAGCGAAGGGTCGTGGGAGACTTGGCAGGCCAGCTGTGAGACAGGATGTGTGGACACAAGGGTGACCGGATGATGGGAAAGTGATGCTATCTGACAGAGGAGTTCTGATAAGGTATCTCTGCACCGACGCGTGTAATGCTGCTAGTTAAAAGCTTCAGGACTAGTTTAAACTTCAACACCACCACGCTGAGTGGAGCTGCTCCTCATTAGAGGAGCGCACTAATTCAGGATCATATTAATGTTTCATTAGGGGCCCTCTGGTGTTTGAACTCAACATACAGAACACACTCATGACTGTGTGAAAGCGGTTGGTTATCCACCCCTCGGGATCACCCTCCGCAGCTGGGAAAG